CAGGACAGGACAGCTGTCTCCATCCTCGTGGCTTAAAGGACCATTGCAGGCTTGCATAGTGGTTTACCCTGACTTCCAGCTGAGCATGTTCTGCTGCATCAACGGTGCCTGGTTTTTCACCGCTGAAATTCCCATCTCGGAGAATAATTGCTGGGCCCTAAATCAGGAATGGGGAACCGAATGCATCCCTTCCCAAGTGTCATGGACTGGCTGGATGCAGAAGAGTGGTGGGTGGCACCAGGTGGGGGAACCCCCAAGGGAATCCCCAGGGGAAGAAAGCTCAGAGTCAGGGGATTGGTGGTGGGATGATGATGCATGGTCAAAGGGAGAAAACTGGAAGGAGGAAGTGTCAGAAGCTGAAGAGGCAACAGGGTTTAGTGAGCAGGAAGAGGCTGTGGCAGAGAGCAGTCCAGACTCAAATTCAGTAGAGGAGGGGAGCCAGGGGAAAAAGGCGAGGCAGGCTGCAGAAGAAGGCAGGGAGTCTCCGCCTCCTGCTGCAACCAATTCCCTTCACCGCTGGTCTCCCAGAGAAATAAAATGGGTGGAGCAACAAGAGACAGGATGACAGAGCCTCAGTGTGCTGGGAAAGGAACTAGGGCAGGAGCCTTAGAGAGCAGTGGGGAGGCGGAGACCTTCAGTCCTCGCAACGGCCTCATTGGGGCAAGACCTACTGAGAAGGGTTGCTGTGATCACTAAGACTGAGCTGTTTTGTTTCTTTAAAGGAATAAGGTGCTTAGCCTGAAAAAGATGCCTCACCCCTGCCCTAGGTATTTTCTGTTTTTCACAGAAACACTGCACCAGTTCCTAGCATGACGGGTAGTTAGGCATAATCAAGCCAGTACCCCCTGCAAGTTACCGGACAGAATTTCAGCAACTTGTTTCTTTAAAAGCTTACTGGTTAAGCTGGTACATTTTCATGCATTGTTAAGTACTCAATGAAAGCAGAAAGAACTGGGAGCTGCTGTGGTTTATTTAGGCAACAGGGAGGTGTTCTTTCTGGTGAAGGAACAGATCGAGATTGGCGAAAGGGTGTGTTCGCAAATGGCCAAGGGGGGAGTGAGTCATAGCAAGGAAAAGTTTGGCTTCTGAGAAACATTCAGAAACAACGTCTTATGTCACAATATCGGCAGCATTGTGTGTGCTTAACAGTCAGTCAGACAAACAAACAAACAAACAAACAAACAGAAAGACCCTTAGACACACAAAAAACCTGGTTTGTACAGAAAGTGTGTTGCGAACAGGGGGTTAAAGTCTACGTTCTTCCTACGACAAATGTGTGTTTTTGTGTTCCACTAATTTCCTCCTGTTGCATAACTTTATGAGAAGATAAATAAAGGATTTAAATGCCAAATACTTTGCTCAGTGTTATTGACCACTCTCATTTGTTTAGAGCTTTACACCACACCTCAGTCCTTAGCGACGTTCGCTTCTAGTTGTGTTGGAAATACAACTTCCTCCAAAGGAGGCCGGGGGCGGGGCGGTGGCATCTGTCTGCTTTCAATATATTAACGAAGAGCTGAACACCAATTGATTCATTAAAATGGCTGAATACAAATTCATTCACAAGCATCACGCCTTACCTGTATTTGCACAGTCGCTGACAAACCCACCTGCAACGGCTTCAGAAGAGCTGGCTATGCAGCTTGTTATTTGGGTTAGATAGCAAGTGTGTAAGGATGTCCTTTCCTTCGGAGCAGCTGTGGGCATCAACTTGAGCCTCAGCTCAAACTGAATCCTGTCTCCCTTTGGGCAATTGCACTAGGAATGGTGCCAGCGAGACTTTTTCTTTTTCTTCTTCTTATCGTATGCTGGCGGTTTTGCTTATATCAGAAGCTTCTTTCTTTGAAAGAATTAGAACTAGTTATTTTCTAGGGATACTTCCTATTTAGAGTTTAATTTTCCAAAGGATGAAATGTAAAAAATAGCCACCGTTCTCTTTCCCCCCTTTAAATATGTAAAAAAAAATAAAAATAAAAGAGAGGGGGGGGAGAAGATAGGAGAATCCTTTAAGACAGCATTTACAACAAAGGACTGGATAGCATTTGCATTACTGCTCAAATTGGATTAACAGGATCGAAAAGGCATCTCTAGAGTCTCCAAGGATGGATATTTCTGACATTTTAAAATAATAAACTAAAATACTATGGGAGAGTGGGTATCACAGCTTATATTAAATGGTGCTTTTGTTTTCCTGCTGCAGAAAAAGGATTTTTTTACCCCCGACTTAAAAGGGAGAGAGCTAACAACGCAGTCAGAAGTAAGTCCCACTGAATTCAATGATAAGTATGTATAGCATCATGGCACGGCACAACCTTCACTGGTGGGTGGCCCCTGGAAGGTTCCACAAAAGGAAATGCAGCCCTTAGGCTGAGAAAGGTTCCTCACTCCTGTTCTACATACAGGCTGGCTGGAGCCTTCATGAAGAATTACCAAGGGTGTGTATTGAGAAGCATGTTGAATTGAAACCTATGAGACACAAGGCTACAAAAAGCACGTCTGCTTCCTCCAAACACATCCAGTGCAATGCCAGAAAACATACGAGGATTTGTGCTATTGTCTCCACGGCAGCATGTCTGGCACGGAGACTTTCCAACACACTAGCACACCTGTAACAGTTCTGTGGCGAGCTTTGACACAGCAAGAATTATTTGAAAGCAGCCACACTACAGCTGTAAAACAGAAAGTGGGTCTTATTTTTTTTATGCAGGTGTCCAGTTAATATGTAGTTCATATAAAAGGAAAAAACAAAAGGTAAAGGACCCCTGGATGGTTTAATCCAGTCAAAGACGACTATGGGGTTGCGGCACTCATCTCGCTTTCAGGTCAGGGGAACTGGCATTTGCCCACAGATAGCTTTCCAGTTCATGTGGCCAGCATGACTAAACCATTTCTGGCACAATGGAACACCATGATGGAAACCAGAGTGCACAGAAACGCTGTTTACCTTCCCGCTGCAGTGGTACCTATTTATCTACTAGCACAAGGGTGCTTTGAACTGCTAGGTTGGCAGCAGCTGGGGCAGAGCAATGGGAGCTCACTCTGTCGCGGGGATTCGAACCGCCAACTTTCTGATTGGCAAGCCCAAGAAGCTCAGTGGTTTAGACCACAGTGCCAGTAGAGTGCTGTACCAAATAAAATTTCAAGAATTTTTTTTTTTTTAAATTCCCATCAAAATCTCAAAGCCACACACTTTCCCATCCTACAGATAACATACATCTTTCCATCTGAACTTAGAAAAACTCCTGGAGATATTTCTGTCATTCTCCTATGGTCTGGCACCAGGAGGCATTGGGGGATTTTGAGCTGCAGGGTTATTGGCACTGCACTGAGCAGACAGCCCAGCTCTGTTCTCCTCCAGCAGTCCTTTTACCCAGAGGTATTTAGGCTGGGTCCCTTTTGTTCAGCTTCTCCAGAGGAGGTATCGGTTACTTGAGAACCATAGTACTAAAATGTATCATGTTCGTCTCTTAACAACGAGAATGACAAATATTACTCCCTTATTGCGTTCCAGTTGAAGCAGCTGCTTCTAATTACCAGAAACAAAATGAAATGTTGTTTCCTTTTTCTGCTTCTTTGTAGAGAATAAATTTGGGAGCAAGAAGTGTAGTACTTCCCCAACTATAATCTCCCTCCCTTCCCTTTATAATCCCCTGAATAGCAGACAGATTCGTTTACTGACATTTCTACCAACAGGAATACAATTGTTAAGAATCTCCAGGTGCCACTAGAAGGTTTTGGCCTTGAAATAAGATAAGATGGAACATTTCCAACTCCCTCTCTTCCCAAAAGGAGGCTATTAAAAGCATACTAGACTCACAAAAAGCCTCCTTGGCATAAAGGAAAGAGAACCATAGGTTGTTGTTTTTTCCCTGTGTCTTTTTATCAAAATGAACTTATTCATTTGGGACTGTAGTAATTAGTTCTTTGTAAAAAAATTACAGCATGGCCTCTTTTATTGCAGGAGCAGCTGAAAATGGATAAAATCCACATTTCCATTTTTAATTTTATTTCTCAGGAGCAGCTAATGCAGGAGATTGGAATTCTGAATCTATTTGCATGACAGTGACTTGCAAGAGCAGACAACTGGGGTCCCTGTTGCAGGTCACCTTCAAAAACAGGTTTTTAACATGTGTTCTGAAATCTCATAAAAAAGGCACCTAGGAACCCCCTCTACTTATTTTAAACCTCAGCATTTTGGTGTGCCTTTTAAAAATATATATACAGATGTTCCACTTGACTTTATCAGCACTAGGTCTCTCTGCCACTCCAACTCTGTCCCTCCTGGCATCTTCAGGGAAAACCTGACATTACTGTACTGTACTTGCTTAATGGACCTCAAGTGTTGCTTGGGCAACAGCAAGACATCTTCATCTGACCCAGAGCAGCAGTAAGTTTTATCAATGCTGCACATTGATATAGGTCACCAGTGGGCTATTTACCATGTTTGTGTGTTTGTTTCCAATTTGGGACATCTACTGCAATACCTAAACATAGGACTAAGTTGGGGCTGCATGCTAGAATTCTTATTCTCCATTATCATTATTATTCCATATAGCAGCATATTGCCCACTGGCGGTTTTCTGCAAAAGGTGGTGGTGGGCGTGAAATAAACCACAATGACGATTTCGTTGGGGACACTGCCCGCTGAACACACTTTAATTTCACGACCGGAAAGGGCAGCTGAACTTCAGCGGGTCTCTTCCTTATTGCATGTTCCTATTGTCCCAGAGATCTGCGGCCCTCCCCGTGAAACAGGAGACCCCCGTGGTCGACTAAGGCGGACGCCTCGCCATCATCTGTCCCCTCGGCGAGGGCGAAAGAGGCTTTGCAAACTCGCGCGCAAGATCCTCGAGGCCACAGTTCCCCAAAAGCGCAGCAGAGCGCGCGCACACACGCTCCTCCCCTGGGCCGGAGACGAAGCGGCAACCCGGCCGCCTTTCCCCCAAATCAGACAGGCAGCTCCTCCTCTAGGCCTGGCAGGGGCCGGCGGGGAGGCGTGGTCACTGGCACGGCGTCTCTTCGGTGGGGCGCGCCGGGGCGGGGTTCCCGGCTGCGGCTCCCGGCGCCCCTTCGAAGAGCTGCTGGGGACTGTCCGCCAGCAGCGTGGCGCGCACTTTCCGCTTCTCCTTGAAGCGGCCCGAGCGGGAGATCTTAAGGTTCCGGCGGCTGCCCGAGTTGGGCTGCTGGTTCTCTTGAGAGTCCGAGGGGCTGGGCGCGGCGGGGAGCATCTCCGAGGACTCAGGCACCTGCCGAGGAGGCCACGCAGCCGCTGGCGATTCCTTGGGTTTTTTCCTGCTGGTCAGCGATTTCCACCAGGCGCCCGAGCCGCCGCCTTTGGACGCGGGCCCCGTCGAGGGGGCGGCCGTGCCGGCGCTTTCGGCCATCTTCCGGAGGGCAGGAGGCGCCCGCGCGCCTCTTCCCGGTCAGGGGGTCCTGGGCGATGCGCTGCACTCGGGGCCGGTGGCCTGGAGGGGAGGAGAGAGAGGAGGGAGGCTTGTTTAGCAGCAGGAACTGGAGCCCTCACCGACTTGGGGTCCGCGGTAGGAAGGAGACATTTAAGGGGGTGCGGGAGACATCGGGCGCACAGAGCGCAATTAGTAGGCTCCGCTGGAGGAACTGTCTAAGAGGGTCATCGTAACCATACGCAGAGACTCCACTTCCATCTTATTTTATTTTATTATTTACTCGCTTCCAAATTGTGACGCCAGGGCTTTCTTGAGGCCTGGGATTTCCTCCCCTCCCCCCCCCCCAAAGGCTGCGCCAAAAACGTTTTGGTTCATAGAGGTCCTGAAGGATAGCTCCTTTGTTGAGCCTGAGACTCTTAATCTCAGGGTTGTGGGCGAAAGATGCATGCACTGCAAGGAGTTGGACAAGATGATCCTTGTGGTCCCTTCAAACTCTACAGTTCTATAATTCTACCCGGAGTAGGACTAACATTGAATATAACCCTCCCCCTCCAAACAAGAGGGAGATAGGTAAAGGTAAAGGGACCCCTGAGCATTAGGTCCAGTCGTGGCCGACTCTGGGGTTGCGGCACTCATCTCGCTTTATTGGCCGAGGGAGCCGGCGTACAGTTTCCAGGTCATGTGGCCAGCATGACTAAGCCGCTTCTGGCGAACCAGAGCAGCACACAGAAACGCCGTTTACCTTCCTGCCAGAGCGGTACCTATTTATCTACTTGCACTGGTGTGCTTTCGAATTGCTAGGTTGGCAGGAGCAGGGAACCAAGCAACGGGAGCTCACCCCGTCGTAGGGATTCGAACTGCTAACCTTCCGATTGGCAGGTCCTAGGCTCTGTGGTTTAAACCACAGCGCCACAGAGATACCACTGCATAAATAGGAAGTGCCCAGCTTGGGGGCATAATGGGGCTGATGAAAGCACTATGTTAGGAATGTGGGGGCTGGGCCCTCCTGGTGATATTGGAGTGTATCTCCCACCACCACTGGCCCTGATGGGGACTGATATGGCCCTCCAGTTTTACTGTTGGGCTCCCAGGTACCCCAGCCCTTTCAGACCAATAGTATGAAGTGAAGATTTATAATCATTTCCTTGTAAACCTATTAACAAAACCAAACAAAAACACATAAAACAGTTTTCCAAATATGTAGCACCCCTAAATGTGCTAGGGTGCAGAGCCAACCAGGTAATACGCTTTGCAGGTGCTCTCCTGCAAGATGCCGAAAGGAAGAAAAGCATTCCTGTTTTCTGCCCAGGAGGAGAGTTAATGAATAAATAAAAACCCCAAAGAAACAAGCTTGTGAAAAATGTCGTCATCACACTAACCGAATCTCCTGCTAATGAATATGTATTTTATTATTTATTATATTTATATTATATACAGAAGAACCACCAGCATTGCTGCTTCAAGTTGTCTCTCAGTTCTTTGAGAGTGTCAACAAACAGTTATTTGAAGACTTTTGGCCTGCTTCTTATTAAGAATCCCAGAGTGGGCCAAAACAATATCTTAAACCAGAAGCAGCCATAAAATATCAAAATTATATATACGGTCCAGTGAGGAAGAGTGAATTCTCAACGTTCTCAACCAAACTCCAGGGTAAATAAGTTTTCAAAAAGTGTCCAAAGGACAAAAGTGTCCAAAGGACCAGTGGGAGGGCGACTGCATTTCTGAGGTGTCTGAATTGAGAATATAGGCAGGATTCAGTAGACATTATGTACTTAAATTTCAAAAAACTTTCAATAAAGTCCCTCGCCAAAGACTCCTGAGCAAACTAGAAGTCATGGAATAAGGAGACAGGAGAACAGGAAGCAGAGAGTTGGAATGAATGGACCGTTCTCAAATGGGAGGGATGTAGGAGGTGGAATCCCTCAAGGATCTGTACTGTGTCACTTCATAAATGATATGAAGTTAGGAGAAAGTACTGAGATGTCCACATCTGCTGATAGCACACAACTGTTGAGGATGCTAAAACAAAAAGGGTTTGAGAAGAATTCCAAACGAAACTCTCCTGAATTGGCAGAATAGGCATTAAAATGCCAACTATAACTCAATGTAAGCAAGTATAAAGCGATGCACATTGGGTCAACAACAACAACATTCCAAACTTCATATATGCCAGTGGTGTCTGGTCTGACAGTGACTATCTGGAAAAGAGATCTTAGGAATCATAGTTAATAGGTCAGTGAAAATGCAGCTGTGAAAAAAATCAAAACCCATGTCTACTAAGATCATTAGGAAGGGAATTGAAAACGAAACTGCCTAATTCAGTTGTACAAATCTATGGTGTGATAACACTTGAAATGCTTTGTATAGTTCTGGATGTCATACCTCAAGGGGAATATTCCAGAGCTGGAAGGAGTGCAGAAAAGGTGCATCCCAAATGATCAAGGGACTGGAGCCACTTCCCCATGAGGAAATCTACATTTGGGACTTTAAAGTTTAGGGGCGGGGGGAGTAAGGGGAGACAGGATAGAGATGTTAAAAAGAGAGATGCATAGTGTGAAGAAAGTGGATTAGAGGTATTTTCTCCCTCCTCATACTAGAAAAGGCGCAGCAAGCATTTTTTTCAGCCCAATGGCTGCACTTACCGATGGCCAACCTTCTGAGTATTGCATGCAAAAGTGGGTGTGGCCAAAGTGTATAAGTGGGTGTAGCCTTTTAAAAAAACACACTTGGAGATATCACAAGTACCTTCTGGCATTCCATAATCACAACAGGGGGTCTTGAAGGAGTGGTCCATACAAGAATATGTGTGTGCGCGTGTATAATTTTTTACTTTTAGAAATTTAGGAAGCCTTTCTGCATAGATCCTTAGGAATGGTCATTTAATTATTATTTTTTTAAATGACAATTATGTACTGCTTGCAGGCTCCAAGTTATCTGCTCCTGTACAAGAGCCTGGGGTCATGCAATGAAGCTCTTGGAAGATTCAAGATGGGCAAAAGAAATGCATCACACAGTACATAGCTAAATAGTGTACAGTAAGCCTGTAACTTAAGTGGGTGTTATGTTTTGGGGATCGTGCCTAAAGCCAGAATCACACACAGTCAAAGCACTTTGGGTGCAATGGCAGGTGAGATTACCAATGTCTTTTTTCCTGGATGTCCACCCCCTTTCCCTTCCCTTAGATTTTTTTTATTGTGAAGTACATAAAGCTGAGGGACGCGGGTGGCGCTGTGGGTTAAACCACAGAGCCTAGGGCTTGCCGATCAGAAGGTTGGCGGTTCGAATCCCCGCGATGGGGTGAGCTTCCGTTGCTCGGTCCCAGCTCCTGCCTAGCAGTTCGAAAGCACATCAAAGTGCAAGTAGATAAATAGGTGGGAAGGTAAATGGTGTTTCCGTGTGCTGCTCTGGTTCACCTGAAGTGGCTTAGTCATGCTGGCCACATGACCTGGAAGCTGTATGCTGGCTCCCTCGGCCAATAAAACGAGATGAGCGCCGCAACCCCAGAGTCGGTCTCGACTGGATCTAATGGTCGGGGGGGGTACCACCACTACGAAAGATAGTGTGCTGGGTACCACAAGTGCTGTTAAGCTCGTGTCCTGCTTGTGAGTTCCCCATAGGCATCTAATTGGCCACTCTGAAAATAGGATGCGGGACTAGATGGTCCTTTGGTCTCACTCAGTAGGCCACTTCTTATGTCTTGCTTACGATGTTTTTGAACTCTGCTTCTTGGTCTAATGCTCATTGAGAAGGCTTAGGGTTGCAGTTTATTAATGGCAAAGTGCAAGCTAATGGTCTTGAAAATCAAGAGGTCTAATGTCCACAGAAATGGGCAACGTTTTGCATTAAGACAATTTGTCAGTGTCTTATCATCTTTGCTTCTAACAGCAGTAGTCTGCGCATGTCTACTCACAAGTAAGTTCCATTGAATTTAATGGGACTTACTCCCAGATAAAGACAGAGGATTGAGTGGGACTCAGCTGCTCTCAACCTGCCACTGTTGATAGATTTCATAGGATAGGAACTGTGTCCATTCCTAAGCACATTGGTGAGGAAACTATGCAAACTTTAATTCATCTAGAATGCTTTGGAGAGTTAAAACCTTTCCACACTGCATAACCTTCTTTTGTACTAATGAAGTCATTAGCAGTAGTTAAACCTTTCCAAGACTGGCTAAGCAACCAAGAATTCAGTTGCTTAGCACAATTCATCAAAAGCTTCTTTGGTTTGAAGATTTAAACAGAGACTTGTGGTATTTCCAGTACACTGGGTTTCTGATCCAGCAGTACCTCCTGACAAGTCCAGCTACATTTGCAGCAAAGTTCAGCACCATCAGCTTACAAAAATTTGCTAAGTGGGATTGAAATGTTAACTTTTCAGGTTTGTGAATTTTGCATTGGTATGTTGTTCACAGCAAACAATGGGAACAAAATGATTTGGTCTTAGGCCAAAACCACCCAAACTGAGTGAGCAGAAAACTGCAGTTCGGCATAAGTTTCACTGAACTCAGTACCCCAACTTCCAAGTAAACATGGATAAGGATGGATTGTGAGCCAGTTGAGACCTAGCCATCTCGTGCAGAGCAAAACTTTATTCAAAGTAGAAGAGACAGAATTAAAAATGTATTCTATATTCTAGTTTCAGCATATCTGCATAATCAGATATACCCAGTTATCAGTGTTTTGTCTTGGTTGGGATTGTTTCTTCTCTTCTCCATTCCCTTTGAACGCATGGCACAAATATAGCTCATTTTTCTGCACTTTCGGAATTTCTTTTTAATGCATTCCTTGAAGGCATACAGACACCAGATACATGTACTGTAGGTCTCATTTGCTCCCTAGTTGTGGCCTACTGTCTGATCAGACTTAAATGCAGTTGTCAATCTAGTTCCAATAATTGACAGGCAGATACCTTAAGGAAATATTCAAGCAAATCACAATAGTAATGGCTACTCCTTTTTTTCCTCCCAGGACCTGGAAGTCAGACATATATATACCCACCCTGGGGGTATCTTATGACAGAGGGTGAGATGTTAATAAATAATAGTACACTGTCTCTGAACATGGAGGTTCAGTTTAGCTATCATGGTTCTGTGACATGGAGACTGAGGATTAATTTCCTAGGACTACTTCACCCTGGGAGTTGAACTGCTAGGAGGAGACAGTCACATGCATGCCCCTTCCGTTCTGCAAACTTAACTCACTGGTTTTCTATTTTGTGCACACATCGGCTGAGTCACTACATAAGTGGTTCTTCTCCATGCAGCTGCACAAACCAACTATAAATGTTTCTGTAAAAGTTCGCTGGTGTTGTTCCTTCAGCTTGATAAGGAAATGGAAGGCAAACCTTGCTCCTTCCTACAAGGGAGCTTTCAGATTTTGCACAGCCTTATCACACAAACAGTGCTATGGTTTGTCATCATAAACTGATGATCATGACATGTAGGGCCAGACACTTTAGAAACTCTCTCCTAAATCTTCAACATGCTTTCATTTCTGAGAAGTTTCCTGCTTGCTTGTGAAGCAAGAAAACATTCTTGCTCTGTTGAATGATGGAACATTCATACTGGCTGCACTGGGGCCAGGATTTCACCCACAGCGTGTAGTATTTTGTACACATAGAATCCATCGAGCAGAATGCAACTCACTGAATTGCTGCAAAGACCAGAATGAGGCAGGTTCCTTCGAACAGCAGGTAAAAGTGATAAACTAAGCTTTTTTTTGGGAACAGTTAATTGCAACATTTATCTAATAGTGGCGGCCCCCTTTCCAGCAGGACTTGGACACTGAGGTAGCAGCTCTTCATTGCCTTTGTTAATTAAGCTTGTTGCAAGTCATAGCTAGAGGGCCCAAGTTGCACCTGTACTGTGCAAGGAAACAACTCAGCAGGTGCAACTGAGGACACAGCAGAAAAATGCACTTTATAACTGGGGTTATTTTTTATGGCTAGATAACCCTTAGCTGTCAACATTTTGCTAATTTGAAAGGTGGGGTGAAACGGGGGAATTTTTTTATAGCAGAGCTATAATCCCCAAACTGCATCGCCCGCTATACACATGCTTCTTTAGGATTGTCCTTTACCGGTTGCTTAATCCAGAGCTACTGGAGGAAAAACAAAGCCTGTTGGATTTCTGCCTATTATGCAGAAAGGGAGGGAAGGGGTGTGTGCATGTGTAAATAGCAACCCTCCATTTCAGAGCTCTTCAGAGATTACAGTAGTGTACCGGGACCCTCAGACATAGTTCCCGTTAAGTTCATTCAGCGGGATTATAAAACTGACCCCATGCACCTTTAATCAGAAGAAAGCCCAGATGTCTTCAGTGGGGCTTGCTGCCAAGTATATGACCCAGGATTGCAGCCTTGGACTGCAATCTTGTACACACTTAGCTAGCAACAAGTCCCACTGAAGTCAACAGGGCTTTCCTCAGAGCAAACATGTACAGGTCGGCACTGTTAGTTCATGGCACGTGTCTTTGGGATTGAATCGTAGAACCGCAAGGGCTGGAAGGGACCCAAGGGGTCATCTAGTCCAACCCCCTGCAATGCAGGAATAAATTAAGAGTGCTGGACTATCACTTGGGAGGCCAGAGTTCAAATCCCCACTCAGCCATGAAGCCCACTGGGTGACCTTGGGGCCAGTCACCATCCCTTAGCCTAACCTACCTCACAGGGTTTTTTGTGAGGCTGAAATGAGGAGGGAGAACCATGTACACACCTTGAGATCCTTGGAAGATAAAGGTAATAAATCTGTAAATAGTACAGTGGTACCTCGGGTTAAGTACTTAATTCGTTCTGGAGGTCTGTTCTTAACCTGAAACTGTTCTTAACCTGAAGCACCACTTTAGCTAATGGGGCCTCCCACTGCCGCTGTGCCGCCGCAGCACGATTTCTGTTCTCACCCTGAAGCAAAGTTCTTAACCTGAAGCACTATTTCTGGGTTAGCGGAGTCTGTAACCTGAAGCGTCTGTAACCTGAGGTACCACTGTAATAAATCTATAAACCAGATAGACAGACAGACAGACAGATAGATAGATGATAGATAGAATCCCATGCACACTTCTTGGGGAATAAGTCCCACTCAACTCACCGTGCGAAGGCAAGAAAATCCCCAATTGCTCCGCCTCAGCCACGCTGAAGCGCCCTTGCGTCCGCACTTAGGGCAGCTGACAGGAAGGAGGTGGCAGCCCAGCTCCGCGCCCGCCCACGCAGCATCTTTTGCCGGCTGCTCCCCCTCCCCCTGACCAGGCTGAGGAAGCCCCCCTCCCGCCCGCCTCTCAGGCGCGCCCCTCCCCCTTGCCTTTCATGCTGCATGCAAGGTGCGCTCGTGCAAGGTGAGCAGCGCGCGCGCGCCCTTAGCGCTGCGCGACAGGTGGGCGCCTCTGGGCAGATTCCCACCCCCACTCCCCCTCCAGGTCGGGAGCGCGCGAGACGCAGGCGGAAAGGGCTCTTGCCGGGCACCTGTTGAAGAGAGCACCTGCCGGCTGAGGAGAAAGCAAGCGAAGGCGCGTCCTCGTGGGCTCTCACCTGTGCGCCGGAGGAGCGCCTCTTCTTCTTCTTCCTCCTGAGCAGGCGCGGTGCTGGAGGGAGTCAGTCCATCCTCTCGCCGAGAGCGTCGTTACCTGGGCTTCCTTCTCTGAGGGAACTACTCGCTGCCGCAGCAACAGGCTGACTCTTGAGAGCGAGCGAGCGAGAGAGCGAGCCAGGGAACTTGGCCTCCTTCCGGCGCCCGCCCGCTCCAAAAGGGAGCGCCAACTTTCGCAGGTGAAGAACAATCCGCCGTCGGAAGCCGGCCTTTCAGCTAGCCGTCTCTAGGGACGACCGCGAGCAGCTGGGGGGGGGGGGCGCTTGGGAAAGAGCGGCCGCGCTGTAAGGGAGCCAGCTTTCTCTCGCGCGCGCTTTTCGTGGCGAGGGAATCCCACCCGCCCGACTCACTTTCCTCGAAAGGTCTGAGCGGTGCACCTGATGCTCAGGCAACAAGGAAGCAGGTGCAGGTGAGCCCTCGAGAAGCGACCCCGCCCCTTCTCCTCCTCCCTAAACGGGATTGGTCCCTCTCGCAGGGGCAGCTGGACAACGATTGGCCTGGGAAGAAGAAGGAGTAGTAGCACGGTATAAATCAAGAGGCAAAGGGAGTTACAGGGCACAACTTTGATCTCTTTTGGAAGCTGGCCATGGCGGCAGCACACAACTTGGCTCTCTTCCTCAGCCCTGCGCTGATTTCCTTGTAATGCTGTCATGAGTTCTCCCCGCTTCTGGCACACTTGGTGCCCATGTGACCATTTGGCTAGGAGCAGGGATGAGAGAGAGCCAGGCACAATCGTTCTCTTAAGGCTTTGTAAAACCCTGCTTGTTTCGAAGAGTGCTTTCCGCTGCCCACATTTTGTGTGGCGTCTTAGGCCGTGTGTTCCCAAGCTGTGATAAGTCTTAGGATGTGTCTGTAGGGGGTTGCTGTCTGGGCTCTGGGGGGCTGCACCAGTGTGCCTGATTCACCCAAGCAACCCTAAGCAATCACAGCAAAACTGAAGCAGCTGCAGAGTCCACATGTCCCACAAAACACGGGGTAACACAGCAGTTCCTGTTAATGGGCACTTCTGCAGCCAGGATGCTCCTGTACAGAGCTAGCTGGGGTTTTTTTGCCCCGGGTGAAGGTTTCAGAGGGGCCCCATTGAGGCTCCCCACAGTATGTATTTGAAATTGTGTGGGGTGGCGCCAAACTGGGTCTTTGATCCAGGTGAAATAAAGCCTAGTTTCGCCGCTGAAAGGTGGCACGCTTTCTTTGTATGAAGTTTCAACAAAGTTGAGAGCATTTCCAAGTAAACTTGTGTAAGATCTGGCTGTATATTCATAGGAGTGTTTAAGTGAAGCAGGCCATGTGCAGTGGCTTCAGGCAGTAGTGTGAAGGCAGTGCTGCCCAATAGTCGAATGCTGGCCTTGGACAGAGGACACTTGAGATTGGAGTTAACAATTAGATCGTTTTGGGCAAGTCATTAATTTTCACAACCTGGATCTTATCTATAAAAACTCTCCTCATTCTAGAGAGGTCACCATTTATCTATCCTGCCACCTAAATCTCAAAATAATTTGAGAATTTCTTTCTCCACAACAGATTCCAGCCCTCAGGAATTTAAGGATGGTGTGTACAAGCAGCAATTGTTTTAGGTGCATCAAATATTTGTGCAACTGAACCTGGGAAGTGACCCAAAAACGTCACAAAAACATCACAAAAGGGGCAGAATGGGACAGGGGTGCAGACAGAATGGGGGCTTTTTCAATGGCGTTTCAGATATATGCGATTTCACTTAAAGACATGGTGCCATGGAATGTAATCGCCATGTAAATTGGGAGTTGCCTGTATGATAAAATAAGCAGGTTCTTTGACCTTCTCTGAAGTTGTTTTAGGAAGGGAGCCTTGCTAGGTACCCGAGACAGGGAACAGGTGGGCACAATAGAGTTAGCATGATGGATACAAAGAGCATTGGAGGGCTTTCTGAACTTGTTGAAAGTTATCAGTACAAAACAGTCGCAAGATTTCACACGGACTTCAGAAGACCTTTATGCACTTCTTGTGTTTATATAGTAGCAGTTTAGTTGGAAATGAAGACACTATGTCCTGTTACTGACCCCTTTAAAGGCATTGATTCATTTGCCATTAGTCTACAGGCTCGCAGTGTACTTAAGAGTTTGGAGATGCATCAGAGAGCACAAGAGACGCTGGGGAATGTGTGTCAGGGATGTTTGTTTGTGAAGCTCAAGGTATGCGAAGTACCCTCCCGCAAATAAATTGCAGAAGCCCACCAGTGAAATGATGGCTTTTTAGGCAGAGATCAGTTTTACCTCTTGAGACCTCATTGCCAGATTTCAGTATGGACTTTGGGCACAGCCCTGGGATGTATTATGTAGTCATTGTATTATGTACAATGCATCTTGAGCTCAAAAAACAAACTGGCAAAACCAGTTTCCATAAAATAGTACAAGAAGAAACTTCTGTAATATAGTTCAGCGTGTTTTCTCATTCAGGCACTTAATAAGCCTTTGAATAATGTGATTCAACATACTGAGAGCCATGTGGAAGAAAAGGAAATAATAAAAGGGAGGACATTTCTTGGATAACATAATGTAGCTTTCTTCCATACTTGAGTTTTGTATTAAAATTGGTAAGATAATGATAAGTGACTGTAGTACTTAATACCAGGAAACTAAAACATAAAATATAGTATCTTCTATCTTGTTAAGATAGGCAAAGGAAAGAGAAACATGGTCAGGTTAAATGTAGGAAGTTGTATGAATCTTAGAACACCTGATAAGTCTATATATTATTTGAATTACTTTTATATTAGTTCTATCAGCAAAATCATTTTTAAACAACTCGTTGCATGTAAACTGTATGAAAAATGTGCAGATCCTTAAACCAATATTTTTTAAAAAATGCATAGAGAAACCAAGTGTTTTCGCTTGCAGTGAAAATTACAGACAGGGACTCAACACATTTAATGGGATATTTCTCCCCCCTTTCCATTTACACTATCATAAATTACAAAGCATATTTCACTTCACAAAATAAAACCATTTCCATACCATTTTATGACAGTATTTAGTACATAAACCTACAACAATTGAAATCTGTACAACTTAGGAGAATCCCTTCTAGCATTGTACCAGCAAAGCAGACCTCACTTACATCTGGCCTGCAGCCTGGGTCGGTCTACTTAGCCCTTGGTGACCTATGTAAAGGATAACTGATATACATTATTTCATGTGCCTCCTTTTGTCTTTACTCTTTCTTCATTATCCATGTTGCACACTCCCCACCCCAATTTTAATAGAAACCTATGCTCCCTGAAATAATTCAGAAAACAGCATAATTGGGTTTTGAAACTTAGGATTTGTACAAATCAAGAGCAGAGCTCAATAGAGTCTTTTGTATTGCAAATTCAGTTTCGTAATAAACTATGCTACCTTTGTGTTTGAAATATTTGTACAAAAAAATCTCACGATGAGAAAATTCCATGTGAGAAAAAAGTCTAATATTAGGATGAATTTCATTATATTGCATTGAGAGGTCAACCTTTTGAAAGATAACACCCCCCCCCCCCCAAGATTTGGTAATATACCAATTCTCTATCCTTCACCTCTCTTTCCTTTATTAACAAATTTGTCAGAAGACACTGAAGAAAAGTGTGTAATTTTTTACTTTTATAAATACAGAAGCAAAGTAATGCAACTTGATTTTTAGAAATAATAATAAAAAATTAACCCTAAATAAGTGCTAACTTTTAAGCAAGGCCAGGTAATATCCAATATTCTGGCATCACTTATTTTAAACATTACTGTACTCCAAAAAATGTGTTACGTGTAGTAGTTGATGCTAGTGTCTGTTTATAAACCTTTGAGCTCCTCTTTTTGGAAGGAGGTGGATAAATAGAATACTGTATTTGTATACCTCTAAAAGCAAAGAACATGAATTGCTAGAACATAACAAACCAAATAATATTAAGATGAGCATGAGAAATGAAGTCTCATTAAAAGCATTTGCAATGAAAGAGGTATGTCAGGGTAATACTGCACTAGTGGTAAATGTTTTCAATATCCATAGCAATAATGCTTAAGAGAACTATACGGAAAGTCATCAATGCACCGCATTGAATTATATCTTGCTAAAATAAAATGACATTCCTGCAGCTAACTAAAATAAAAATATACTTTAAATACATGTTTGTTTCCATTTAGACATAGTATAATTATGTCTTAATTAGAAAGAAATTGTATACCCCCATAAAAACTAATACTGACAAACAACCTGATCCTTAAGATATCGGACAAGATAAAATATCCTGAAGGTAGGGTCTTCCTTTTCTCCTGTGTGAATAGAAATGCTGCCCATGTACCTTGGAAGTCGAACAGAATCCATTCTGGAAGTCCGTTTGACTTCCAAAGCGTTCAAAAACCAAAGTGCGGCTTCTGATTGGCTGCAGGAAGCTCCTGCAGCCAATCAGAAGTCACGGAAGCCCCGTTGGATGTTCGGCTTCCAAAAGAACGTTCGAAAACCGGAACAGTCACTTCCAGGTTTCGATTGTTTGGGAGCCAAAACATTCGAGAACTAGGCTGTTCGAAAACCAAGGTACGACTGTATACAGAAATTATTTGTTCTGATACAAGGCATTATACAGTTCATAGAAGAGAACCAGGAAGACCCTGCCTGTACAGAAGCTCTGCTTGGAATCAGATCATGGACATTGTTACAATCCTACTACTTAATTTGCCATTATTTTCAGTAAGAGGAACACAACTGAAATAGTAGAGAGCATGTCTTGAGCACTACATTATGGTTGTCATGGGGAAAATAAATCCCATCAAGTCCAATTCCACTTATTTCCACATAACTACCATGATCTAGAAATCATTGCATGCCAAAGCAGGATGCAAGAAACCTGTTTCCCCCCCCCCATATATGGTTTACCCTCCTTGAATCAAGGTTTTCAACTACAATCTTACAAGTCTGCTATGCTGACCCAGTTCTTTTCAATAGGAACTGTGCCAGCATAGTACTTTGAGCATCAGGTTGAAAGTACCTTTTTGCTTCAATGATCTAAATAAAATACAAAGTTTGTGTCCTTTAATAAGTTACAGTAGAACAGTCTGTAACCTTTCTACATCGTTAACACTGGAAGCAAGGCAAAAGATACAAGGCAAGATGCTTTTCTTCTGACCTTTGTTCTTTCTTAAATAATTAAAAAAGAGGCATATGTCTATAAGACAAACCCTTTTAACTAAATGTTTTGGTGTTCATCTGCAACACTGCAGAAAATAATGTGCTACCCTTTTTTTTCTTATGGGAATTTGTTTTCCCTTTGAACTTGTATTTTCATAGCAGATGGCCATGAGTTTATAGCTTTGTTCATTTAAAACAAAACATCTTCATTTTCTATCAATATTTGCACAATGAGTTTCTGGTACCGCATGTCATTGAGTGTCGCAAGAGTGCTGTCTTCTGGGGGTCGCATTAAAGTAGGTCCAAACACTATTCCCAAATTTTCAGCGTTCATAAAATTGTCTTTTTCATTCATGGTAATCCTAAAGGTGAAAGAAAAGTGATATCTCTGTTAAACTGTTTTCCCACCCTTTCTTTATACCCAGAACTGATTGGGAATTCTAGGAAAACACAAAAAAGTGCAGTTTTGAAAAGCTCAGTTCAGGCATAGGCAAACTCAGCCCTCCAGATGTTTTGAGACTACAATTCCCACCATCCTTGACCACTGGTCCTGTTAGCTAGGGATCATGGGAGTTGTAGGCCAAAAACATCTGGAGGGCCGGGTTTGCCTATGCCTGGCTTAGTTAGCAATCTTGATTCAAGGTTATATCCAAACAGAAACAAACACCTGCTCCTTGATCTTAGGAACCGTCATGCAAAGTTTCCGTATATCTTAAGAGGTGTCCAAATGCATAGGGCACAGAGAAACTACTTTTCAAAATATATAGTAGATGTTTGCTTCACATGCTGAATAATGGTTGTTTCTGCACTGCAATAGTGGCCTGGGGGGGTGGTGGTGGCTGGAGCCACCTTTCCAACATCAACTTTTTGGCAACCTGGATGGAAATATTGGAGGACAAGGCAGGAATAAGGTTGGGCCTGTACCATAATGGTTCTGTTGGTTCACCCACAGGCCTATACCATACTGGCTCCAGCTCCCACCGTAGTGTCAATTTGTTGTGCAACTGCTCTGTCCAAGAAAGCTGCAGTGACGTCAGTGTTGGCAGGCTGGTAAGTTACGCTGTGCACTTAAATGGAGACAGGAGATCAGTGCAGCATACTCACCTTTTTTGAAAGGGGGGAGCACAATTAGACGTGGGCAGGAGAGTTCCATGTGAAGGGCCCCCGTGGACAAACTGGTCGTCAATTTTTCCCCCTACACTTTTAGTAATAAACTAAACCTTTTTGTGTGTGTGTGAACCCACTTGGAAACAAAGTTTTGAATTAACTGTGATCTCTATGATGACTGATTGTACTCTCAGGTATCTTTCTACATGTCTAACATTTCTGGTTTACTTATATGGCTGTGACTTGTTGATTGGTAAAGGGAGCCCTGACCATTAGGTCCAGGCGTGGCCGACTCTGGGGTTGCAGCGCTCATCTCGCTTTATTGGCCGAGGGAGCCGGCGTACAGCTTCCAGGTCATGTGGCCAGCATGACTAAGCCGCTTCTGGCAAACGAGAGCAGCGCACGGAAATGCCGTTTAACTTCCCGCCGGAGCGGTACCTATTTATCTACTTGCACTTTGACATTCTTTCAAACTGCTAGGTTGGCAGGAGCAGGGACCGAGCCACGGGAGCTCACCCCGTCGCGGGGATTCGAACCGCCGACCTTCTGATCAGCAAGTCCTAGGCTCAGTAGTTTAACTCACAGCGTCGTAAAACTGGTTAAAATTTGAAGATACTACTACTACTACTACTAAAATTACTCATAATAATTTTATTATTTATACCCCACCCGTCTGGCTGTGTTGCCAGAAATTTCTTCTGCAGTGACAGTTTAAAATGCTTTTTAAAGCATATTTCTTTATGAAGAAAGAAAGAAAGATGATCAAGCCTCCTTTTATAGGCAAATTCGCTTACTTTTTGAGATGAATCATCAGGTATCTAAGAGTCTCGTAATGTGCTGCAGGAAGTAACATCAACACTTCGTGGACAGCTTCTAGTCTTTCATCAGCATTGGAGAGTTCTACGTGATACAAAACAAGATTCTTGTAAGCTTTATCAGATGCAGATTTCAAAGTTCAATAAAAAATACAATTAAACAAATCCAGTATTCCTGCTGCTGCAGGAGTTTTAGAATTGTGGAGTTAAGGTTATGACAAAACTATATAAATAAATGAAATGCCTCAGTACTTACTTGCTGCATCTATAAACTTGGAATATGTATCGTAGGTGATAACCGGGATAGGCAGATCTCTGAAATACAGCTTCAGTGCTCCAGCAATAATATTTATGTCTGGATATATGTTGGCAGAGACGTCTGCCTTGTCACCATCTAGAAAAGAATGAGATGGTTTAAAGGTCCTACTTTTTCTTTTGCCAAAGACATTCTTGAGTTATCTTGTCAAACATTGCTCATGTTTGGGTTTTGAATCACTGGAAAATGAAGAAGTTCCATAACCTGGACACTACACAGGATACCTTTTCACACATCCCTACCAACTATACCTCAGACGGAGCTGGGATGTGCCTATGGATCTTCCGATGTCAACCTCTGTGGATGGACATATGACCATATGGGAAGACATGTTCCCTTATGAATGCTTATCCCAAACTCTTTTAAGGCTTCAAAGTGAACGCCTTGAGTTATATACCCCTGAGTTTATTCAGCCAGTGAAGCTAAAACAATCAAGAAGTTGCACGTTCCCATACACTGGCTCCAGCAAACACATTTGCTGGATCAATTTGTACTAGCTGAAATGTTTTTCTGAAGGCATTTCAAAGACAGTCCCTTGAACAGTGTACTGTAGTAGACCAATCTCATTTTATTTAAAAGATTTAAGGATACCTTTCAGTGAAACTATCAGTGCAGCACATAAGGAACTATTATAAAACCATGAGTATAAAATCTTATTTGTGTGGTGGGGGGGGGCAGGGAGAGAGAGTGTTTTAGGAACAGTTTACTAAGTAGTTCAGTTTTCAGGCACAAAGTTTAAATTTGTTCAGAAGTAATCCACTCTTCTGTCCCTTTAGAAAACAAGTGATAAACCTGCTTTCTCAGGTCTTGCTTTAAAATAGGTCCTTGTACCTATTCCTTCCTCTACGTCACAGTACTTTGTTTTGCTTATGAAAAGCCCTGCAATAAAGTTTTAAAATGCATTTGTATTTAGCAGAATAAATAATCATTTTGCGAAGAAACCTGTGGCATTAAACTTGAAGCGACATGAAATATATCCACAAAAATTTTTATTTAGAGCAGATGTATAGCTGAGTTACTTGTGAAGGCCAAATTGTAAGTTTAACAGCGCAGCAATAATCATACTTATTAGGAAGGAGCTAAATTGTAACTGAGTGAATCTTCAAGTGTAATTATAAATGTGTTTGTGACTGGGGATCAAGTCTTTAAAACAAACAGTCTATGTATCTGATACAGCAGAGTGAACCCGCATATTAGCATTTACTCTAATACAGCACCAGTACTTCCATCACAGTGTTTATTCTGCACCAGCCAGGCTCATATTTATCCTCATATACTTGGTACGGTAGCGTTAGTATTATAAAACGTTGTTTGGACGGCTCTATTTAATTGCAGTACAATGAGATCTAAAGTGCTACAGTGAAAGCAAATGCTTTGTGGGGGAAAATGCTGCAGCTGCCTCTATATCCATCCAGATATGGTAAAGCAGAATGCCATATCCCCTTTTCAGGCTATCTGCACGTTTACAAAATAAAAGTGACATTCATAGGTTATCACAGCAAGTCATATCATGGAGGAGTTTTACTTGGAAGTTGGTAAGTATCTCTCTGCCTGTAACTTGTTATAAGCTAAACGGATGGGGAAAGACTGAAGGCCACTTAAAAGGCAGGAATGTGTGCACCCTAGAACATGGGTAGGCAAACTAAGGCCCGGGGACCGGATCTGGCCCAATTGCCTTCTCAATCTGGCCCGCGGACGGTCCGGGAATCAGTGTGTTTTTACATGAGTAGAATATGTCCTTTTATTTAAAATGCATCTCTGGGTTATTTGTAGGGCCTGCCTGGTGTTTTTACATGAGTATAATCTGTGCCTTTATTTAAAATGCATCTCTGGGTTATTTGTGGGGCATAGGAATTCGTTCATTTCCCCCCCCCCCAAAAAAAATATAGTCCGCCCCTCCCCACAAGGTCTGAGGGACTGTGGACTGGCCCCCTGCTGAAAAAGTTTGCTGACCCCTGCTCTAGACACATAGCAAATAAAAAAATTAATTCTGATGAAAAGCACTGCTCAAACTGGAATTGCTCTAAGAATCTATGGTATCTATGGATTCCATCACTGTATTTTTTCTTTTCAAACATTCAAAAGGCACTCCAGAAAACAAATGTACTCTTTCGTGAACTGCAATATGCCACAAACTGCAGGTGTATAAACAATTGCTCGTTCTGAAAATTGGTGTTATTGGATGCTAATAAGAATCAGCCAGCTGGAGAAAATAAGTAGTTTTAGAGAGCAGTGGTACTGATAAAGGAAGCTGCAGTACTTTGGAGGTGTTTGACCATGATTCGGTCAAGGGGTCCATCACAAACAAGCCACATGCAGCCATCTTTGTTTGTTTGCTTGTTTAGCAACTTTGTCCTCAACAGCTCACTGTCCTGAATAGATTTTTTTTTTTAAAACAGTAACATTTTGAAAGCAACCTAGGTGGGCATGTGGAAAATACCAATGATGAATGAACCAGAAAAATAACATCTTAGTCTACACATAACTATCTCTGCAACTGCTGAATTTCTAGAGTACAATTCTTGCAAATTTAGCAAATTCATACAACCTATAAGCTATTTTAAATCCAAACACAGGGAAGCTGTTTGGCACGATGAACTGTTGGTGTGCAGCTGTTTACGATGTGGAACTGCTTTTTTTTTTAATGAAATAGTAGTATATAAGCATTTTAATAAATTCCTATGTTAATTATGCAACCACAGACCACCAAACAAGTTATGGTGGCATGTTGAGGAACAGGTCACTTCGCTAGTCTCCTTGTGGTAGGAATCACATGCATCTCAAAGTTCAGTGGCCATATTTTAAACAAGCTGACAAGAGAAATTGTGTTTGCCCGTAGTTTATAACACATACTAAAGGTGAATCTACCCACAATGCTTAATGCATAACATGTATTACTCTTATTTTTCTTAAATTAATTGCAGTTATGAAGGGCAGAACAAAAGAGGAGATGAGGTTTCTCTCTTCAGTTGCTAGCCATGTCTCCCTGAATATTAACCCCCTCATGTGCCCATGAGGCTTAGTAAAAAAGTTCCCATTAGTGCCAATGAGGCTAATGCCTCTTTGCAAAAAAACAAAACAAAATAAAGCAGAAAAAAATAGTGATGTAGATCCTTCTTTAGTAACAACCCTCAAATATGAGATGTGTGGTGCCAAGCAGGACAAACAACCAACTAAAGCTCAGAATGCACTTGTTACAATGAGAACTCTATGAACAAGCTGTACAATGAATGTTTTATATGCTAGCAGGAACAGAACTGGTCAACAATACCAGCACAGTGAGCGACTGTTGCTGTACAGCATCCATATTCATTCCGTGGAAGAATAAATAAACATTATTCCTATCAAGCTTACTCAGTCGAATTAACAGTCACAAATATACTGACCTGATTTTTACTCTAAAGCTCAACTGGCCTTATAGTATAGTGATAATGTCATTTAGACCCTCATTATTTTAGAGATGGTGGGGGGCAGAATTTAATATGCAGAAACAGAACGTGGTATAGTCCTTCCTGAAACGAAGCAGTTCAAATAGGTATGTTTTGAGACACTGTGCATCTTCCTACTCACCCCAAGACATGTTTTAACATACGTGGTAAATGCCAATAGAAACCAGTACATAATAAAATAGCCTGAAAGTATTGTGGGCCTCTCATTATTACACCATCAAAACATGTGCAACGCCAATGAACACAGGGTATGTACAAGCTTTCGAAAGCTAAAATATTGCCGACAGGCTTTCCACAGCTAAAATGTACTGTACCTCGATCAAAGGCCATTTTGACATCTTCAATGTGTTCAGTGAACCCCGAGACTCTGTAAATCCCTTCTGACTTCAAACCTGCAGGCAAAAATTTCATCAGCTGCTGTTTAGTCTAGGGATACATTTTCACACTCCAGTTATTTTTTACTTCTTTTCACAAGTTAGCTTCTGCCTCCCGAATTCTCGGAACAAGAGAAATTACTCATCATATAGCCATCTTTTGACAGAGCTCTCACAGTTGGTTAGTTATGCCCCCTTTAGGCCCATAACAGCAATCATTAGCTTTTAAAGAATGAGGGTTTTTTCCACACACACCATGTGTGTAGGGGAGAAAATTGGAGGATTGGTTTGAGGATCTATAACAGATAACTTGAAATCCCTACGTTGGAAAGGGAGGCTGACACTATTTAAGCACAAGGGTGCAATTCATCTTGTAACAACTGAGCGTTGCAAGGAAGTAGAGAGATGCTTCAAGTGATGAATGGGACCATGGAAGGGCCTTGAACCTTCTATCCTAGCAACCGCTCTCCAAGGTCTCAGGCAGAGAGCCTTCCAAGGCTTGCTAGCCTTTTCTCTCTTTTTTTTAACAGGAATTTAATATAGAATTTCCTGCATGCAACCCATTAGTTCTCTTACTGAGCTGTATGACCTTTCCCACATAAGGATGATGACTTAATTTAAGCTAATGGCTTGGATTGTAGCGGAAATCAATTTGAGGAAGTGCAAGGAAGTTTCCCATCCTCTCCTTGTCCCTGCAGCCATCTGAAATCCTCCAAAAGGCGGCTCTTTCATTCTCTGAACTTCAAAGCTCCTCTTCCAGCAGCCTCAGATGCCACATCCCACATTGTCCAGAAGGGTGGATTCTTGGGGGTGGGGGCGCTGGTGGCTTCAGGTGGGAAGAGGGCATCAAAAACTGCTGTAAAATTCCTAAATTTCACTTCTCTTGGGATCCACACAGGGCCAGATTTAGGTTTGATGAGACCCTAAGCTACTGAAGGTAGTGGGACCCTTTATATATCCAGCTGTCCTTTGTCAACAACAAATTGTCACTGTTTTTTGTGTTGAATATATGCTATATGGTAATTTATGGACCTAATGGGTATCTAAAGTCATTTGCACATGCAGAATGCAGGCACCCTATATATAGAAATGAGCAAACCAGGGATATTTTAGGGAGCAGGCTAGCAGGCGGGGCCCATTACTTACATCATAGGAGCCTACACAATACAAAACACTGTTGCTGTATGTAGGTTTTATTTTATTTGTTTTTTATCTTATATTTTGGAAATGTACATCCAGTTTTTTCCCCTTTAATTTTTTTGGGGGGCCCGAAGAGACTGGGGCCCTAAGCTATAGCTTGTTTAGCTTATACGTACGTAAATCTGGCAGTGGATCCACACCATTGTCTTCTAATATCTATACTCACTCAGCTACTAAGATGATGTGGGTTAACTGGAAATGATTAACTTTGGTCTATTAACTTAATTAAATATATTCCAGTCCATTTTACACTGTGTAGAACTTAATTGGACACAACCCCGGTGGCACAATCGAGAGATTTAAATTTCCTATAACAGTTCTAGGTTTGATTTATGATATACACATTGATTGATTGATTGATTGAATTTATATCTCGCCCTATTGAAGCCTTCTATAAGTATTTTCTTCTATTATTTATAGGCTAAGAGTTTATTTTACATTAATATCTTAACATGCATTTGTTCATTTCACATTAGTTTCTGCGACATAGGCTTGGTTATCATTTTGAAAGCAATTGGACTTTACTATAGCTCCCAACAGTTTTAATTGGAAAGTGCAATATTTACTGGAAAAATTAAATGTGAGGGGGCATAGTTTTCTACATTGAAAAATGTAGCTAAATATATTAAATAATTAAAACAACGCACATTGTTTGTGTGGTGGTAGTAGTGAACTATAATTCGCTTCCTCAACCAAATGAGGTTAAGTTGTTCTTCAAAGTAAATGCTTTAAACAATTTGTTCATAAAACTTTTCCCCACAAAGGAATATAAAGAAATCAGATTTTATATAAAACATGTAATTTAAAATTACTTAGTTTTCTGTAATATAATATCTGATTACGTTTGTCAGTCAGTGATATTATATTAGCGTTCTAGTAACCCAGTGAAGGAAATCCTATTTCATCAACATGTAAATACCTCTTGCTTCGATTTCTCGAATACATATGTCCACTACCATGGGTCTCTGTGAATTGTGGGCCTTCACTAGTGTGGTGAGGTCACAGCAGTAGACTCGTTTGATTCTCTTGAGGTCTGGTTGGCAGTCATTGGGGACGTATTTTGAACACTGTTTGTGTACGTTCAATCCACAGTCTGTAAAGAAAGTATCAGTGTTACTTTGAGTTTTTTCTATTTTACTCTCAGAAAGAATGAAAACATTCTACATGTGAACATCTTAGCTCTCAATTACTCTTACTTTTCACCGCACACAGTAAATTACAAGGCAATAGATCAATTTGTAAATATAACAAAGGTTGGCAGGCAAAAATATGCGAAGAAATGAAATTCTATGAGTATAGGGTTGCCATATTTCAAAAAGTGAACATCCGGACACAAAAGTTGTTGAGCTTCTGATATGGGCTGCCATATGACTGGGTTTCCCCAGAAATTTTAACCAATTTTTGAGAATTCCGTTCCGATGAATGAATCCCAGATGTATGGCAGCCCTATGTAATATAACATTTGAATCTTACTCTAATTCTCTAGTAATGTAGCAGGTACATGAAGCACATATGAGCAACTGTTAAGGCTGAAACAAAAAATTTTGGCCACCGTGTGGAGAATGTGGAAAATGCTTCCAAGTGCCTGTGGTTCTAATATATTTGAAACGGGTTGACAAGATGTTCAGATCATTTCAGTGCTAACTGAAATAAAGACAGGTAACTGTAACAACAAAAACAAATTATGTGTATGCTGTCCATCTGACTAGGTTGTCCCAGCCACTCTGGGCAGCTTCCAACAAGTTAAAACAAATTTTAAGGACCAAGACTGTAATGAAGACTGTAATGGATACAGGAGCTCTTCAAGAAATCCAGGCCAATCCATGTGGTAAATATTACATTTATAGTAAAATTTTATATGTGTCTCCTCAGAAGCGAGCTCCACTGAGTTCAGTGGGACTTATATAAAAAAGGTAAAGGACTCCTGGATGGTTAAGTCCAGTCAAAGGCGACTATGGGGTTGCAGCGCCCATCTCGCTTTCAGGCTGAGGGAGCCGGCGTTTGCCCACAGACAGCTTTCCGGGTCGTGTGGCCAGCATGACTAAACCGCTTCTGGTGCAACGGGACACTGTGACAGAAGCCAGAGTGCATGGAAACGCCATTTACCTTTCCGCCACAGCGGTACCTATTTATCTACTTGCACTGGTGTGCTTTTGAACTGCTAGGTTGGCAGGAGCTGGGACAGCGCAACGGGAGCTCACCAACCTTCTGAACAGCCAACCTTCTGATTGGCAAGCCCAAGAGGATCAGTGGTTTAGGCCACAGCGCCACCCGCATATGCCAGTGGGACTTACTCCTAGATTGCAGCCTAAGTACAGTTTCTGCCCCATGGCCCCTAACAGAAGCCTAATTGCAACAGAGGTGGAGTGATGTTCCAGGAGAGGGGGGCTGCCAACTCCATCTCCCTGTGTGCAATTAGGCTTCAAAGAAACCAGCTATTCTAGCCAAGAGAAAATAAGCCTTCTGTTGTATCTGGGTAGAGAAGGGTTAACCCCATGCCAGAGCCCTCCAGATGTACTCATATCCGACCATCATCCCTGACCCACTGGTCATGCTGGAATGACAGGCGCTGTAGTCTGCAATGTCTGGCTGGCATTAAGTGCTAGTTTGGGGAAGCTTGAGAACAGTAAAAAAATGAATACGTGTTTAAAATATAAGCTTGTCGTTTATTAGATAACCTTTGTACTCTTTTGCTAGAAAACTGGATTTATTGCTCTTTCATTGGAACACGTGAAGTAATAATAAAAGTGTGTCTCTATGCATGTGCAGTCAACTACCCGTACAAATGACTAACCAGAGCTTGCCTCATTCATTAAGCAGGGCTTCAAACACTGAGATTAGGGATTCTGGGCAGGCTTAGACTTCTGCACTTCTTATAAAAATTAACTCTCACAACTACACAGTGTGATTCAGGATTATCACTGTCCCTTTCAGCCATCAACATAAAGTATTCTTGACTCCACTGCTAAACATGAACAGTTTCTTTCCTTGCAATATTTGATGTGCACAGGTAAAGGACCTCTGTGCCTATAACTAAATCTGTTTGGTTTATTGGGCTCATTCAGACAGAAACTAACTGCATAATACAGTATTGTTCAGTGAAATCTAAACAAACCCAGCCAGCTGTACTTAAAATACTCCCTTTAGGGTTTTTTTTTTTAGTTCTTGCTAAACATTTCCTGTGTAGTTAAAAACTTGTTTGTCTGCTTAGAGTTAAATATTGGTAACCTAATGAAGCAGAACGTTAAGCTTTGAACTAAATAAACATACTTTTTTTCACAGGTTAAATACTTAAAGAGAATGAAAACAAATCCAGCCAGACGTATTATGTTTAAATGTAGAGTTCTTATAAGAATAATTAGTTATACGTCTACTTGACCTCTTGTGTTATTGTCCAAAGGGAGTCTGCAAGCTTAAAGGGGCTGGCAGTGACTCTGAAGTCACACAGGTCTCCTGTGTTTAGCATGGACATCTCAGCCACAGAGACCTGTGTATAGCTTTTTATAGGGGCTAAAACAATTGGGGCTGCTGGGAATTGGGAGTCCAGTTACAGTGTTGTTGGCAAGAACCCATACCTGCTTAAGTATGACAACTGACAAGAAATTACCAAGGAACGGTCATTTAAGTCATATAATTATATTGTGTATGGTTGACCAAGAAAAGAAACCAGCTTTAGGCACCGTAATATAAAATGGCAGTATGATGTCCCCACCGCAAACCCAAGCGCTCTGCGGCACAACAGATCTTCCCCACCTAACTCACCTTACCCTATGGCACGTTAAATTGCAACTGTGCCTATTTTCTGGGTCGCACATTCATAGAACTACACCAGCTAATTCAGCTGTGGCTGTCTATCAAGCTTCATCAACCCCCGACAATATGTCCATTAGGCAAGAGGGACAGGAGTTGCAGTCCCCACAATATCTGCAGGACCACAGGTGCCTAACCCATGAATCAGCAGGCAATATTTTTTGACTTCATCACATGAAAGCTACGATTACCTATTTCTTTATATTGAATCTCTGTTAAAGGCTCAGAACATACGCTGTTAAGATTCTTCGGGACAGTCAACAACCCTGTTGGCAACTGTTGTTTTAAAGCAGAGTCTGTCGTGGCCAGCGGAAGGATGAGGAGTACGTGATACATACTCTATATAGCTTTATTTACAGTTCAAAGCTGGTATATTACAGAAAGACATCTTGCGTCTGCAGGAGCAGAAAAAATGCATCCTCTCTCCTCCACAGCTCGGAGAGAATCACACAGTGAAAAACAGGAAACCAGTGTACGTCACATCCAGTCTCCCTTTCCCGTGAGAAACTCCAACAGTACAGACTGTGGAATGTAAACACCTGTCTCGTGACAAGCAGAGCTGCACAGTGAAGGAAAGCAGAAACCAACATCCTCCCCTTTCTGTGAACATCACTGGGCAGCGTGTTTGCACAATATCAGTACAAACCCAACTTCTGCACATAGGTACAGTGTTGATCCCTCGATACAATCTTGGACAATACATCAGCAGGAATTTCATTACCTGGCATATAGGACACCGTTACGAGTCCCTTCTGAATACATTCCCTAGCATGCTGCAACTTTAATTGCAAATGCTTCGTGCTTTGCTTACAACCTTCAGACTTCAGCAAAGCCAAACATGCTTTGTTGTCCTGGTAAACCTGGATTGGACATTTGACAGGAATTTTCATATCTTTGCACAATTGTACTAACCATTCACAATCCTTAAGTGAATAAGACAGTGCATTCAGTTCAGCTTCACAAGTACTTAAGCTAACTGTTGTTTGCTTCTTGCATGACCAATCAACAGACTCTGATTGTACATGTAGCAAACTCCAGACGTACTTTTCCTGTCTGTAGCGTCACTTCCAAAACTTGCATCTGCAAATATCTCAAGACCACCAGACTTCTGATTGTTAAATCTCAGTCTGTAATGCATAGTGCCTTTCAAATACCGCGCTATGCGTTTCAGAGCTTTCCAATCCTTGACACTAGGATTGTTGACTTGTCTGCTTAGCAAATTACAGCTAACAGCAATGTCTGGTCTTGAACATCTGGCAATGAAGCTTAGCTTGCCTAGCACATTCCTGTACAGTGTAGTGTCAGAAAATGCTTCTTCAGTGTCATCTACCTGATAACCTGTTGTCATCGGTGTGTCTACAGGGTTAGCATCCATCAGATTTAGTTTGCTTAACACATCAGCAATTTTCCGTGACTGGTGTACTAGAATGTTACCATCTTGATCTCTCTCTATTTCCAGAGATAGGTAGTTATTTACCTCACCAAGATCTTTCATGTCAAAGTGCTCTTTCAGTTGAGCTAGGGCGCTATTGTACATTGCAACATCTTTCCAAAGAATAATAAATCATCAACATAAAACAAACAGTACAGTTTCTTTTGCCCCTCCTCTTTGACAAATACACATGGATCAGCTTTCCCTTGCTGAAAACCTAGAGAAAACAATACTTCAGTGAGTTTTGTGTGCCAACACCGTGCACTTTGTTTGAGACCATAAAGGGATTTCTTCAGAGCACAAACAAATCCCTGTTTTACCTGTACGCCATCAGGTGGAAGCATATAAAGTGATTCATCTAGAGATCCGTACAGAAAAGCTGTATTAATATCATGGTGACTAATGTGTAGATTTTCCTCTGCAGCTAGCTTAAGCATAAGCCTAATGCTTTCATATCTCACTGTGGGTGAATAGGTCTCGTGATAGTCTTCACCTGGTACCTGTGCAAAACCTCTGGCTACCAATCTGGCTTTGTGTCTGACTATCTTGCCATTTTGATCTGTCTTCGCTTTGAAGACCCATTTGCTTCCAAGCAGTTTCATTCCTGGAACTACTGGAACTAGCTCCCATGTTTTGTTCCTTTCTAAGGAATCAAGCTCAGCCTTCATGGCATTTAACCATGGCTCAGCTTCCTTTGAATCCAAACCCTGGATTTCTTGGAAACTTGAAGGTTCAAATACCTTCTTGGAGCTTTTAACAGCTGTTACTGCTATCGTAGCAAACTCATCAGCAAATCTCTTTGGAGGTTTGCCTTTTGTGGCTCTCTGTGACCTACGAATTAGCCTTAAGTCTTCAACACTCTCCTCTTCCTTCTTAGGAGAAAAACGACCTATTGTGAACAATGGTTCCTCCAATTCTTGATCAGAGCTTTCAGAGGGTCGCATAGAGGCTTTCGCACTCTCGAAATCCTCTGAATCACCCGATTCAGTTTCAGATTCAGACTCAGAACCTTCATCAGTGGGTGTGGGCTGTTGTGGTTGCTTTTGACTATCCTCAGTCTCATCACCGTCATCAGGATAACATTGGAAAATTCCCACATTCTCCCCCACTTTGCATTGTACTCGACACTTCTCGTGAGCTTAATTGTCTTAGAGTCAGTCATCATTATTCTGTAAGACCCTTTCTGATAACCTAGAAAGATACCATGCAATCCACGCTTGTCTAACTTGGAGTTTTGTGGTGAGCGAACCCACATGTCAGAACCAAAATCTTCATGTGTTTGATGTATGGCTTCTTGCCAAACATCTTCTCATAGGGGGTACAACCAATCGCTGAAGATAACCTGCGATTGTAACTGTAAACAAAACACGAGAGAGATTCGGCCCAATAACTCTCTGGAAGATTGGCATCATGCAGCAAGGTCTTTAACCCTTGAAGCAATGTCTGATTTGCCCGTTCCGCAAGTCCATTCTGCCATGGTGAGCGAGGACTAGACAAATCGTGTTGAATTCCTTTCTCAGTCAGAAAAGCTTCAAACTGCTGAGAAGTGAATTCCCCCCCACGATCACTGAAAAGAGTCTTTATCTTCTTACCATGCACATTTTCCAACCAAGCACAGAATTCCTTGAACCTAGGAAAAGCCTCCGACTTCTGCTTGAGATTGTACACAAAAATATATCTAGAAAATGCATCAATGAGAACCATGAAGTATCTATTTCCACCCAAAGAGGGCGCTAGTGGTCCAACCAAATCAGCATGAACAACCTGGTATGGTTCTGTAGCTTTCCTACTAGACACCTTACCTTTCGCAGCCATTTTTACCTTGTTTGCTGCGCATGCTTTGCACTTCATGTGGTACCTGCAGGGTTTAATAGTCATACCTTCAACCAAGGCAGGCATTTTAGATACTGCCTCAAAATGCAAATGACCAAATTTTCGATGAAAATCGTGAATACATTCTGCATGCAAACTTTTGTTAGAACCTGCAATGCAACAAGTGTCATCCTGCACCACATCATCATAATACAAAACAAACAAATGATCAACATATTCTGCATGCAATACATAATCATTTTTCTTTGTGATGATGCACTTCTTGTTCTTGAAGGAAACGTCAATGTTCCGCTCATTCAGCTGTCCAACGCTGAGCAGATTATGTTTAGCGTCTGGCACGTAAAGCACATTCTGTATCGATAAGTCCAAACTGTGAAGAACAACAGTTCCGTAGCCTTTACTGGGAATAGTGTGGTCATCCGCCTGGTGAATCGCACCTTCCTGCGGTGTAAAAGACACAAACAGTTTCTTATCGTTGCACATGTGGTGGGTCGCCGCTGAATCAACAATGAAGAAAGATCTAGACGTCTTCTGGACCTCTGCAACCTTTGGAGTGAAGCGTGAAACCATAGCCTTGTGCTGCGTTGTCCTAGACACCGGACCTTTGCCTTTGCCTCGGCCTTTTCCGCGCGATGAGCTTTCGCTGCGCTGCTCTGTCTTGGCCCTGGGATGTCTGCATTCCCTCTTCAAATGGCCTAGACGTCCACTCGAGTAGCATTTCACTGCCTTCAAAGCTTTGGCGCCATCTGGTGGTTCCACTGCACTATGGGATGACGTCTGTGAAGACTCCCCCTTGCCCATGCAGCTAGCACCCCGGCGATCTGCTTCATTTAAAATCACGGCAGTAACAAAGTCCACTGTCAGCTGAGCAGTTGGTTGCACAGCAATCTGGGTTGCAACAGACTCCCAACCTGAACCCAAAGATTGTATTATCATGAAAGAATACACAGCCTCTGGAAAGTTGAGTCCTCTCTGTTGCAGCTCATGTCTCAGATTTTGCATCTGCATCAGATGTAAACGCACATCTCCACCTTCAGCAAGAGCCATATTATGCAGCTTGTTGAAGTAAAACATAGTGGATCCAGCTTCTGTCCTTAAGTGAGCCTCTCTCAGAGCGTCCCAAATTTCTCTGGCTGAGGTCTTATCACGCAATAGACAGAGCTCTTCTGGGGATACTATCAATGTAAGAGTTCCCCTTGCTTTGGAATCCTTAGCTTCCCATGCATCTGTAACTGGAACTGGGGGTTCCTGTAATCACCTCAAACAAACCCTCTTTCCGCAGAATTGCCTCTGCATACTGAACCCAGTCGCTGTAATTTTTCTTGTTGAGCTTAGGAATCCCACAAGCATCCTGAAGGGCCATCATGACTCTGGCATCAGCCTTCAGCGTCATATGCTGCTTTAAATCTTGCTGCGTCACTGCTGCAGCTGCCTTATCACAAAAGCGCACTTAAAAGTTACTTTCGATTTCCCCAGCATAGTGACTTGTGCCTGGGAGCCTTTTGCCTATTCCCGGCAAAACCGGCTTTAAAAGTTCAAAGTCCAGCCATAAAGCCATTAACTTGAAGCTGGCAGGCTGCCCGGAGCAGTAGCACATACCTCATCAATCACTTCTACGCGCAGAGCAGATTCCTTTCCGATCCGTCCCTCTGCATTCCGATCCTTTTGCCGGCACTCCGATTCGACCTCTGGAGTCCATAACCACGTGTTGTTTTAAAGCAGAGTCTGTCGTGGCCAGCGGAAGGATGAGGAGTACGTGATACATACTCTATATAGCTTTATTTACAGTTCAAAGCTGGTATATTACAGAAAGACATCTTGCCTCTGCAGGAGCAGAAAAATGCATCCTCTCTCCTCGACAGCTCGGAGAGAATCACACAGTGAAAAACAGGAAACCAGTGTACGTCACATCCAGTCTCCCTTTCCCGTGAGAAACTCCAACAGTACAGACTGTGGAATGTAAACACCTGTCTCGTGACAAGCAGAGCTGCACAGTGAAGGAAAGCAGAAACCAACAGCTAACATATATTAAATGCCAACAACCAATAACAGCAATATGACTAGTACCCATTAACCATAGGTCCATGAGGTTAGAAATGGAGTCCAGTCCAGTCCAGTCCAGTTGAGCAGTTTAGTTGCCAGACTATCAGCTCCATTATAATCCCCCAAAAGGCTCAAGAGTTACTCATATATTTTAAGCTTGGAATTCAAATTTTAGCCAGGATTTCCCATAGCAAAAGTTTCACTCTTTCCCAGTTTTGAACTTTATTAAAGAAAAAAATAGAAACACCAGTTGTTGACTTCATTGAGTGAAATGGAAACATCCACTTTAAACCAGTTACTATTATTATTATTATTATTATTATTATTATGTGTGTGTGTATTGCTCTAGAAGAGGATTAAACTGCAGAATGCTTTGTCTTATTTAGGAAGGCATTGTCACTCTGCATTGTCCCTTGAAAGAGATTTACAGTTTTGTTTTTCAGGGGTTAAGGGCCTGGTCAATAAGATTTTTAAGATTACCTGAGCATCTGACTCCCTGAGCAATGAGTCCCCACATGAAGTTGGCACAGTATTCACACCAATGTGGACCTCGGAACGTGTGGACCTGTAATACAGAATGGAAAGCAGTCCAGGGTCATTGGGAGGCAGATGGCCTGACAGATGGAACAAGCAGAAGAAAGACATAAGCAACAAATGACTCAGTTAAAAGAACAAGTCTTCCTCACTGACAGCTGCATCCCAAATACTGAGAGTAATAAGAAGCCTGGGGAAAAGAAAGCTGCCTTTGGTCTCAGGGTCCTCTTCATTTCGCAAGGCAAAACAAACAAAACCTAATCACATTGGAGGGCATTGAAATCAATCTATGTACCGTATTTTGTGCTCTATAAGACTCACTTTTTCCCTCCTAAAAAGTAAGGGGAAATGTGTGTGCGTCTTATGGAGCGAATGCAGGCTGCACAGCTATCACAGAAGCCAGAACAGCAAGAGGGATTGCTGCTTTCACTGCACAGCAATCCCTCTTGCTGTTCTGGCTTCTGAGATTCAGAATATTTTTTTTCTTGTTTTCCTCCTCCAAAAACTAGGTGCGTCTTGTGGTCTGGTGAGTCTTATAGAGCGAAAAATACGGTAACTCTTTTAATGGGTTTATTGTTTCTCATATGCCAGGGGTGGCCAACTCCCAATAGACTGCGATCTACTCAGAGTTAAAAACTGGCAGTGATCTACCCCCATTTTTTAGGGGTTCAGGTAAAAGTTGTTGAGGTTTTCTTAGGGGAGCCAGAGTTCTTGAGCTCTTTTTTTGGGGGGGGAGCCAGTGATCTACCAGTGATCTACCACAGATGTCCAGTGATCTACCAGATCATGATCTACCTGTTGGACATGCCTGGTACAATATGAATTTCCTTGGAAACTTACCAACTTTGGGATTTGGTGAATTTTCTTTAGTGACATGATACCTAGTTATTCCATGGTAATTTGGGGGTCTGCTTTTTTGTGCTTTTAGTTCCCAATATTGAAATTTGAAAGCTAATTCCTTAATACCATCAAAGCTTATTAGAAACAAAGACTATGCCTGTCATATGCTAGTGAAGTGCAAAGTGAAAGTGTCAGTACTAAAGCATTCACATGCAAAAGGTCCCAGGTTTCATCCCTGGCACTGGCAGGACAGGTAGGAAAGCATCCTTTGTCCGACACCCTGGAGAGGCACGGCCAGTGCAGCAGACAATACGCTGAACTCAGAACAAGGCAGTTTCATATGGCCACCTGTTTGCAGCCTCATACTAAAAACATAAGGTGAAAGTAATTCTAGTGCGACTGGCCGGCATGTTACAGCCACTTTGTAGATGACATTTTAAATGCCTGTGTATGGTTGCTGTTACTACATGGTGTATGGAAGAAGATGGAGGGGAGGAGAGATGACAGAGGGTGAAGGAAGAGCTGCGAGTGGAGGGGGCCCCCTTTTCGCGTTCTTTGAACTACCTGGGAAACTCAACAAATCTGCTGCTTCTAGAACTGGGTGTAGCTGAATGGGACACATGAAGGCAGCCTAAGGAAGGCTATCCACCTTGGACCTGCCCATAAAAAGCAAGTCAAAAGTGAGAGACTAGAGTGATGCCTTCTTTCCAGGTCCTCTTCTCACTGTGAGACTTTTGTGGGTAAGCTGAGAGTTGGTTTGGACCCTGGGTGAGAATCTGGAGGCTGAGAGAGAGGGTGTGTCAGAAGGAAAATGAATTGATATTCATGTTTATATATTAGAAACTTTGTATTAATGTAACTGTGTCTGTATATATAACTGTGTACCTATATGTAACTTGTGTTTTGTAATACAATGGTACCACGGTTTTTGAACGTAATCCATTCAGGAAGACCGTTCGAGTTCCAAAACGTTCGAAAACCGAAACGCAAATGGTGGTCAGCAAATTTAAGAGAGAGAAATTGAAAAAATCTCAGCAGAAGCTGTTCGACTTCCGAGGCGCGTTCAAAAATGGAAGCATTTACTTCCGGGTTTTCGGCGTTCGAAAACTGAAAACGTTCGACTTCCGAGACGTTCAAAAACCGAGGTACCACTGTATTTTTAAGTTGTCTGTTGTTGCTTTCGTTTCCTGTGCACAGCTTAGAGAGATATATCTTTTAATACATTAAGAGGTATAAAAAAATAAATAGCCAAACAGCCATTATGCTTGCATGCATCAGATCTACTTCAACCCCCTTTAAAAGGTGTTTGTGGTGGTTTTGTGAAAAAATGTCTGATTTGTGGGGTTTGCTGTTAGTAAACAGAAGAAGAGAAGAAGAAGAAGAAGAGTTTGGATTTGATATCCCGCTTTATCACTGCCCGAAAGAGTCTCAAAGCGGCTAACATTCTCCTTTCCCTTCCTCCCCAACAACAAACACTCTGTGAGGTGAGTGGGGCTGAGAGACTTCAGAGAAGTGTGACTGGCCCAAGGTTACCCAGCAGCTGCATGTGGAAGAGCGGAGACTCGAACCCGGTTCCCCAGATTACGAGACTACCGCTCTTAACCACTACACCACACTGGCTCTCATATAACAGCTGTCATATCGAGCAGTAGGGGTCAGCAGAAAGAGGTGGTGAGGATGGCTGCATCAATTTCAGACTGCGATGGGGATGCATTTTAAAAACTACCAAAGCTTTAAAAAAAGAAAAGAAAAACTAGTTGAAAATAAATGACAACTAAACTAGGCCGTCAGGTAGAAAGGTTCTGGTGCAGTTTGCTCTCTTGTTGCTCGCTCTCTCTCTGTCTTTTAACGTACTGCAGCATTTGGTGTGGTTTTCCCAGTGAATAGTATGAAATATACTGTTGTAGAGTTCAAAAGATGGTAGAATGGAAAACAGTATTATTTCTTGTGGTGGCTGCAACATGTAGAAATCTATCGCTCACGTGCTTGAAATGGTTGTGATCTGGACCATATGGGCAGAAGTTTTCCACCTTTCTGGGAAGCCCATATACTGGCATTCTCTTCCATGCATACTAAAGACTTATTTCTCAGGGGGGAAAAATAAGGGATGCCTCTGAGCCCAGGCTCTCTGGGTGGCAGCACTGTGTGTTTCAGATTGTGGTACCAGGCTGCAGATTGGACTGAAAACTCTTTTAGTAAAAGAAACAATTCGCTGAATTGTAGAGGACCTTTTGAAGCAGCCCATTAAAGACAAAACAAAAGGGCAAGGTTCTGAAAACTCTGCATCCATTAATCACACATTAGAACAAGAATCTGGTAATTTCTTCCTGCTTCCTAACAGCGTACATTCTTCCTGCTTGACTTCCAGGAGGGCTTTCTGGCATCTTCTTGAGGACAATTTGCAGATGACACCAAACTGGGAGGGGTGGATAACACCCCAGAGGACAGGATCACACTTCAAAACGACCTTGACAGATTAGAGAACTGGGCCAAAACAAACAAGATGAATTTTAACAGGGAGAAATGTAAAGTATTGCACTTGGGCAAAAAAATGAGAGGCACAAATACAAGATGGGTGACACCTGGCTTGAGAGCAGTACATGTGAAAAGGATCTAGGAGTCTTGGTTGACCACAAACTTGACATGAGCCAACAGTGTGACGCGGCAGCTAAAAAAGCCAATGCAATTCTGGGCCTCATCAATAGGAGTATAGCATCTAGATCAAGGGAAGTAATAGTGCCATTGTATTCTGCTCTGGTGAGACCTCACCTGGAGTACTGTGTCCAGTTCTGGGCACCACAGTTCAAGAAGGACACTGACAAACTGGAACGTGTCCAGAGGAGGGCAACCAAAATGGTCAAAGGCCTGGAAACGATGCCTTATGAGGAACGGCTAAGGGAGCTGGGCATGTTTAGCCTGGAGAAGAGGAGGTTAAGGGGTGATATGATAGCCATGTTCAAATATATAAAAGGATGTCACATAGAGGAGGGAGAAAGGTTGTTTTCTGCTGCTCCAGAGAAGCGGACACGGAGCAATGGATCCAAACTACAAGAAAGAAGATTCCACCTAAACATTAGGAAGAACTTCCTGACAGAGCTGTTCGACAGTGGAATTTGCTGCCAAGGAGTGTGGTGGAGTCTCCTTCTTTGGAGGTCTTTAAGAAGAGGCTTGACAACCATATGTCAGGAGTGCTCTGATGGTGTTTCCTGCTTGGCAGGGGGTTGGACTCGATGGCCCTTGTGGTCTCTTCCAACTCTATGATTCTATGACAATGTTTGGACAAAATCTTAAAAGGGTGTAACCGATGCATGAAAGAATCCTGACACATTTCAAACCTTAAGTTCCATCTCAGGAAAGTAATATTTGTGCAAAGACAGATTTGCTTCCTTGGCATTTGAACACTAAAAAAGAAACTCTTCTCTTAAGAGTCTCCAAGACCAGACAATAGGGTCATCTTTGTAGAAAAAAAATATTCCCTTGGGGAATAGCTAAAGAACAAAAATGCATTGAGATTTCTCCATAAATATTGGTTTGGACCATTTTATTTTTCTCATGGTTCTGCTCTATTGGTGCCACCCTTCTCTGTTGTTGCAGGGCAGGCACTTGATAATATATGTAAGTTTCATCTAATTTTCAATATTTAATTAGTCATAATGGATCATAATTAGAATGTAACTGTTGCATGAACCTTTGTGTAATTAACACACATCACAATCACAAAACAAAAGGGATCATTGACTCAAAAGGAATAACGAGAGGTTTGTGTAGACGCTGTAGGCAATTACAGACTTTTGCATGTTTGAGTCAACTACAGGCACAGGCAAACTATTTTTGTCTCCTTCTCCTCTGCAAGTTAAATAAGTAAACTTGTTTTATGGAGACCACCAAAATCTAAACAGATCCCTATTGAAAGAAAAATACAGTATGTGCCATTTTGCTACCAATCTCCATACAAGCCATGACAATGAACAGCATAAGATAGATGAAAAGACTATTTTACAGAAAGTGCTAGTCTTAAATCCTGCATTAATGAAGCAAATGAACACAGAAATCTTTTGAAATCTGAAACATGGTCATGATGTACAAAATTTTAAGACCAGTTTCTCCCAGTTTCTTCTGGATGATCCAGAGTTGGTTCAGCCAGCGTGGCCTTTACACACGAGTCTTATCATGATCTGGAAGTCCGAAGCAGCTCAAGTAATGTAGGCGTATCAGAGGTAGGGATCAAAGATGATACCAGCATTGTAGTTGCATATTTTGACATTTTTCAGAGAAATGTAATGTATAATTAGTTTGAAGTTTGGCAAGTGTTGGAAATGTGGTGTGCTACTAAGACGTTCCAAGCCCTTCCAATCATGTGTGTAGCTGATGAAAATATACTTGGATAGTTAGGGAGAACAGAGCGAAATGCTACTCATTTTTTGCAAAGATGAAAGCTATGTTTGTTCAATTTTTGCACCGTCTGCTAAAAAGACATCAGGATTGTTATCCAAAATTTAGTGGAGTTAAATATGCTGTTTGATTGACCCATTGAATCTACAGATATGGGTCCAAGATGAGAGAAGGATATGTGAAGAGTGGGAATTTTTTTTTTTTGTTCAGCTTCACAATGACCCATTTCATGCGTAATGCTAAGTCAAACCATGAATAAGCAAACTTGGGGGCCCCTTTCTGTCATTCTGCCCCTGTGCTGTGTTGAGCTAAGCAGTGGTTTGGCTTAGTGTGTCTTCCAAACCCAGGCTTGTGGTTTAGATCTACCAGGCAAACCACAAGCTGGAAAAACGACGGGGCGAATCTTGGTTGCATGCTTTGTCTTGGAGAGCTAAACCAGGGCCTCGGGTTTGGAAGGCACACTAAGTCAAACCATAGCTCAGCAAGACGCGGCTCAGCAGCAGAACGACTGGAGCAGGAGCAAAGCAGTTTCAATCTTCTCATTAGGAGCCCTCACATTTGCACGTTCATGCTAAGCCGCGAACTGGCTTAGGGTGATGTGCAGATGAGGTCAGTGAAAGTGCTAACCAAAATGTTTATCGAAGTTAAATGCATTTGAGTTCATTATTAAAACAGTAGTTTCCTAATCTCCTTAAGCCGCTCTACGCAAGTGACAGGGATATTTTAGGTCTGCTTGTGACATCACGCAGAATAGTAATTTTGCTGGAGATTTATTTAGCTAACTGCAGCTGATTATTTTAGAAAAGCAGGGGTGCTCATGAGAATCTCCCCCTCCCTTCTTGGTGCCACTGCTGCACACAAGCCCTGCGGTGCTTCCCTAATAGTTTCTGCCACCACCCCTTTTTCTAAGGTCGCTTTCAGCCCCAGAAAAGGGGGAAACTGTGGATGCCCAATTAACTATTAGACCTGGGAAGATCTAGCCTGGAGATGGTGCGAGGGGACAAAACTGCAAGGGCAACCCAGCTTTTAAATACCCTTTCATGGCCCCTGGTTCTTTCTGATCAATAAAACCCACATTCGGGTATGCCACATTTTCCAGGCAGAGATCCTGACTACCCTTGTGCATTTGAATAGAACTAGCAGAAGATACACGATTGCATGGCTTAGAGCAAGCATAGGCAAACTCCGGCCCTCCAGATGTTTTGAGACTACAATTCCCATCATCCCTGACCACTGGTCCTGTTAGCTAAGGATGATGGGAATTGTAGTTCCCAAACATCTGGAGGGCCGGAGTTTGCCTATGCCTGGCTTAGAGCAGGGGTAGTCAACCTTTTTATACCTACTGCCCAATAATGCATCTTTCTTGATGGTAAAATTTCCTTACTGCTCACCAGTGCTCGATGGAAGGAGAATTCAGCTTGTGCCATAGAACCCCCTACCGCCCACCTAGAATCCTGAAACGCCCACTAGTGGGCTGTAGGGACCAGGTTGACAACCCCTGGCTTAGAGAAAGTGTGGGGGCAGGTAACCAGGGTTTTTGTGTGTGGCAATTATTTCCTTCTCTCCTTTGTATTATCAGATTGAGATTGAGATTGAGATTGAATCCTGACAAGACAGAAGTACTGTTTTTGGGGGACAGGAGGTGGGCAGGTGTGGAGGATTCCCTGGTCTTGAATGGGGTAACTGTGCCCCTGAAGGACCAGGTGCGCAGCCTGGGAGTCATTTTGGACTCACAGCTGTCCATGGAGGCACAGGTCAAATCCGTGTCCAGGACAGCTGTTTACCAGCTCCATTTGGTACGCAGGCTGAGACCCTATCTGCCTGCGGACTGCCTCGCCAGAGTAGTGCATGCTCTGGTTATCTCCTGCTTGGACTACTGCAATGCGCTCTACATAGGGCTACCTTTGAAGGTGACCCAGCCCAGAAACTACAACTAATCCAGAACGCGGCAGCCAGACTGGTGACTGGGAGCGGCCGCTGAGACCATATAACACCGGTCTTGAAAAACCTACATTGGCTCCCAGTACATTTCCGAGCACAATTCAAAGTGTTGGTGCTGACCTTTAAAGCCCTAAACGGCCTCGGTCCAGCATACCTGAAGGAGCTTCTCCACCCCCATCGTTCTACCCAGACACTGAGGTCCAGCACCGAGGGCCTTCTGGCGGTTCCCTCACTGCGAGAAGCCAAGTTACAGGGAACCAGGCAGAGGGCCTTCTCGGTAGTGGCACCCACCCTGTGGAACACCCTCCCACCAGATGTCAAAGAGAACTATCAGACTTTTGGAAGACATCTGAAGGCAGCCCTGTTTAGGGAAGCTTTTAATGTTTGATGTATTACAGTATTTTAAATTTTTTTTGGAAGCCGCCCAGAGTGGCTGGGGAAGTCCAACCAGATGGGTGGGATATTAATAATAATAATAATAATAATAATAATAATAATAATAATAATAATTTGTATTATCAGGAAAGCAAAGTTCTTATTCATTTGATGCCTACAATGTGAAGTGTGGATTCAGTTCTCATAGACTGAAAATTTGTAAAACAAACAAGCAATAAGCACATGCTTTTTATGCAAAAGATTTCACATTCAATCCCTGGTATCTCCAGGAAGAAACAGGAATGTCTGAAATATTGGAAAGCCACTGCCAGTGTCAGTAATACTATGTCAGCTAGACCAATGGTCTGATTCAGCATAAGGCAGCTTTCTGTGTTCCTTTTACAATAGGTTCAGTGGACAGAATGGGGAGCCAGGTAAGAAGAAAGCACCTAGCAAGTTCCTTGTCAAATCAGAAAGTTAGCTGAAATTGTTGGTTTTTAAGTACAGAAGGAAGTAAAGGGGAAAAGCTCCTCCAGTCAATCAAAAGCCTTCTCTAAGTGTAATGATAAAACCGCTAGCATACAACTGCGATGCTTGCAATAATTAATATTTTTTGAAGTGCTCCAGGCACTGTCTGTGATATAGCTGTCTATGACCCAGCCATTTTAATCACAGTTGACAGATGAACTAATAATATTGGTTCATCTATGAGCAAAGAGAGAGATGTGGTATCTTAGCATCATGGATATTTTCAAGAAAGATATGACATGCTTTGAAAGTACCACTCATTCAACCTGTCTACAGCAGGAGTAGTCAACTTTTTTGTACCTACCGCCCACTAATGCATCTTTCTTGATGGTAAAATTTCCTTACTGCCCACCAGTGCTCAATGGAAGGAGAATTCAGCTTGTGCCATAGAAACCCCTACCGCCCCCCTAGAATCCTGAAACGCCCATTAGTGGGCGGTAGGGACCAGGTTGACAACCCCTGGTCTACAGTCACTTTGGACCAGATTATTTAGTCTTCTCTCCAGTCCAGTCACAGCTTTGCTATTTCATTTGCTGTTTGTGAGCATTGTTTAGTGCTATACATTTCAAACCAGGAACTTCCGTAACTCATTATGATGCACAGGAAAGCAATTATCACATTAACAAAATAAACAATTATCATTGCATAACATGTGGTGACCCTTAGCTTTGTAGTAGATTTTCTTGCATCTTTCTGAGTCTTTAGTTCTTTTGTGTGAAAACGAAAAAGGTCAAATGAAAGCTTGTGTTGAGTTCTGTTTTGTCCACTGAAAGCAAAGTTTCCATTAATTAATTAGAATCCATGTTCCAATTTTCACAGGACAACACTCTTTCTCTAGAACTATTTATTAACTCATCTAAAACAACATTAACAGTATGATGAGTCTATTGTTCATTCCTGGTTCATTCGTAGCCTAATAATTAAAAGAGTAATTATTTTGCTCAAGGAATGCAAGTCCAACAACTTCTTTTACTACATCCCTCTCATGTTCATCTATGATTCTGTTTTCCCTTCTGTGGGATCAGAGTAAATATAAACTTGCCTAAGATGGACTTGATTTTATGTTCTAGATTTGGACTAAATTTGCAAACAAATGATTGCACAGCATTTTAAAAAGCTTGGTTTGACAGCTTGATTTTGTAGAATCTGTTAGTGTCAGAAAATGAACTCAGAGTAAGTTTCAACCCAATCAAAAGGAAGTTATGGAGGCATACACTTTTTAATTGCATTTTTTTTAAAAGAAAAAACCACACACACATGGGTACCAGAAGATCTAGACTCACATTTGCTAAACTTACATATTGAACATATTGAGTCCTTGCAACCCGAGAGGGAATAAAGTTGCAAGTGAATACTTTTTATTGTGATTATTTGATGACAGCATACGCCAAACATTCTGATGAACTTCTATGCCATTAACACGCTCTTCTTACATGCATTCAGTCCTATAGAATATTATCCTAAACTGTTCTATAACAAGTGACCAGCATAAGAGCATAAGAAGAGCCTGCTGGATTAGGCCAATGGTTCATTTTGTTATAATTTTATTTATTACTTAGTTCAACTTCTAGTCTTCACAGTGGCCAACCAGATGCCCATGGGAAACCCGTAAGTAGGACCTAAGCACAACAGCAATCTCCTCTCATGTGGTTTCTATCAACTGGTATTCAGAACCACACTGCTTCTGACTAGTAGCCACTGATATTGTCTAACCACCTTTTAAAGTCATCCAACTTGGTGGCCATCACTGCCTCTGGAGGGAGTTCCATAGTTTAAATTATGAGCTGCATGAAGACGTTCCATCTTTTATCTGTTCTGAATGTTTTAATATTCAGCTTCATAGAATGTCCATGAGTTCTGGTGTTATGAGAACGTTTTGCCTTTTATCTGTGGCATAACGTGCTACTTAAATCAACTTTTGTAGTGTCATGAGACAATCACGGGAGAGCTAGTTTTTAGGTCCATTTTTATCTCTGCCACTGCTAAATTAAGATAAAGCATGTAAACTATTTTAACTTATTGTGATATTTACACAAACATGAGCTTCGAATCCCATCACGATAGGCGTGCTATCTGAACTACATATAGATTACTCAAGAGTTCTTTCAAATCAGCTACAATCCTGCCAATGGTATTCAACATCAAATGAGGCATGGAGGCTTAATACAGCCATGTTCCCAAAGAGCCAATAGGAAGACTCCATGGATGTGCTGCGTTGGAAAAGGAACCAATTGTATGGGGCCCATTAGTGTATGCATTAATTCATTCACCTGGGAAGAGATAGGCAGAAGGCTTCTTCCATGTGTGTAGTGTGACCCTGGCTAGATTAGGGTAAATAGGCTTGATCTAATAGGGGCTGGTGATCGGTATGGTTCTCAAATGTGGCGCTGTGGGTTAAACCACAGAGCCTAGGACCTGCCGACCAGAAGGTCGGTGGTTCGAATCCCCGCGACGGAGTGAGCTCTCATTGCTCGGTCCCTGCTCCTGCCAACCTAGCAGTTCGAAAGCACGTCAAAGTACAAGTAGATAAACAGGTACCGCTCCGGCAGGAAGGTAAATGGTGTTTCCGTGCGCTGCTCTGGTTCGCCAGAAGCGGCTTAGTCATGCTGGCCACATGACCCGGAAGCTGTACGCCGGCTTCCTCGGCCAATAAAGCGAGATGAGCGTCACAACCCCAGAGTCGGTCATGACTGGATCTAATGGTCAGGGGTCCCTTTACCTTAACCACAGCTTTTGACCAAAGGGAATGGCCATAGATTGGGTATTCATGGTGTTAAAATGGCAGCTTTGTCCTTATCTAGAGGTCAGGCCTGCTGTCAGTCATTAGCACCTTAAACTACTGCAATGTCAGAGGTGACAAAACTGGTCCCTACAGGGGACACAGGCTCAGGATGTGTGTGTGCGCGTGCGTAAAAATCACCATATCAGACTATGGAGTGTATGATGTATACATATGGGGCAATGAAACACTGCTGTTACAGCAAGATCAAACACAAGAGAAGCTTTCTGTCCTTCTTGCACTGTGGCATAAAGTTGTTTTTTGTGTGTGGGTGGAGGGGGAACCAATATAGCTCCTTTCCAAGGGCAAAAGTGACCCTAGGTAAGCCTCTGTGCAAGGTATTCTAGGTAGAGCTGTCCCCGAAGACAGGTTGGAATCTCTAAATGGCCCAAAATGCAGCCACCAGGCTGGAGCCAGAAGACAAGGGCATATTACTCCAATCCTTTACTAAGTGAACATATTACCAATTTGTTTCGAGGCTCAACTTGGAAGTGTTGGCATTGAGCTTTAAAGCCCTCAATGTCCTGGGCACCTGGGTATCTACAGAATTGTCTCCTTCCATATAAATATGCTCAAGAACTCTTAGTCCACCACAGAAGTTCTTGCCTGTGTTGCCTTTGTTATCCATGGTGCAATGGGACGGCTGGTGACAGAGGGCCTTCTCTCTTGGAGCGCCCAGACTGTGGAAGAATCTTCCTGGGAAGCCACAATCCATCACTGTCCACTGACACTCTTATTTTGGCATACTTTTAATTAAACATTCACTCTCATTTTAATTTTAAGCTGCTACTGATTTCTTTTTAAAGATTTCTGTTTAATTATACTTGTGATTATGTTGTTTTATTAACTGTGAACTGTCCTGCATGCACTCCTCTTAAAAGGCTGGCTATAAATCATGGTAATAAATAAATAACAAATAAGGTATTTTACTAAAGCATTATACCTTTTTTGTTGGCCAGCTGACATTTTCAAAGTACTTCTTAAAACCCACACTGAGATTTTTTTTTAAAAAAACCCCAGTTTCAAGTCATGCATTTAAAGTTTTGAAAAGAGAATCATATGATTTACCAGTTAAATTATAGCCCTTTTCAAACAGGAAGCAAGAGGGCATACAGAACAGCTAGAGTGAGCAAATAAAAGGTTCTGGGCACTCATCCAGTTTTAAATCAAAGACCAAACAAGGGGAATTTTGAAGAGGAAAGAAAGAATGTATAGGTCAACGTGGAAAATATGCCCCAAGTCATGAGAAAATATTTTTCTGGCTAAAGTGAAACCATTTTTCATCTAAAATGATGATTATGGGGAATCTGCGAGCATTAAAGATGCTTTAAACAACAAAGAAGAGTCCCCTTTCCCCCTTTGGAATGGTCCAAAAATATATTTGGGGGGGGGGATATTTCTAAGATAACCTAGATCTTATTTCCAAGTGTTTTTATATAGTGCATGAAAAGAAAAACCCACATTATAGGAGTTTAAAAACAGTCTAAGTGTACGAAGCATACATACAATAATTTCTTTTCCCTTTTTTTGCATTGGGAGGTGACAGACTAGTTAATACATTTGAAAAGTACTATTTCCAGCATGTATGACATATGCACTCATCAGATGCCTGTGCTCTAGTTTGTGCTCTAGTTTACACTGCAAGAGCTGCCATCTGTCCCTCAAGGAAGACTGTAGTTTCAACCCTCCACCACCTGGGAATAGATCCTTGATTCTCTTTTGTGAATTCCCGTTGGCAACTGCTAGAGATGGGCTTGTTTACAGATAGTAGTAAAAGACAACCTAAACTTCCTAGCAAAGCAAGCACCAGAGGAAAACAGAACATGTGCCCAAGGCCTTATGAATAAAAATCATTGTTCTCCATTCCCAGTAAACATCCAACAGGAGTTTGGAGATTTTGAACTGTGATAGCGGGAGTGTGTCTCAGCCTGGAACAAATGCAGCTCTTCCCACAAAAAAAAGACATTGAACAAGATGCCGGGAAGCCAAGTTTCTAAAGATGAGTCACCTCTTCTATGTATGTATACCCTCTCAAACACTGTCTGAGGAATGGAAAGACTCTCTAGATATAAACCTATACTGTAGAACTTCAGCTGTTGACGTTTCACTCCAAGAATGCTCCCTTGGCACATTGACACAACAAAAGAGATTAGACAATGCCATCACACCATTCTGGTTAGGTGCTGGGGCTGCTGTAGTCAACTTTGCGGTGGACATGGATGATTAACGTTAAGAATGAGCTTCACAGGCAAAATTTAAGATAGGGCAAACACATTTTTATCCATTTCAGAGAGAGCTTGATGAGAACTGCCACAGAGGTATTGTGAATCCATTGAGCTGGGTTAAAAGCATAAGGACTGCTGTCCTGAGTCTCGTTCTACCCATGTTTACTTGTAACAGATCCAGCTCTTTTCTTATAAGTCTTAATGGTGTGGTTCCTATACATGTCAGAAAAGACCCACTGAGTTCTCAGGAAAATGCGTATAGAATTGCAGCCTGAGTTAGATGTACATACACTTTGGTTTGCCACCCCCATTGCTTTCAATGAGATTTAAGATAGTTTTATCAGGAACACAACCCACATTTTTATTCCAGCAAGGTCCAGTGAGCTTGTTTTGAGTATTCAGCCTGTCTGTCTGTCTGTCTGTCTTTGTTTGTTCGTTCCTTCCTTCCTTCCTTCCTTCCTTCCTTCCTTCCTTCCTTCCCTCCCTCCCAGGAAGCCCCTTGGTTGTATCACAAGTTTTATTCTCTTAACGGTTCTTTAGTACTGCTTAAAACCAATCAATGTTACCTTTCTAAGCGAGAAATACAGATAAAAAGACACACAGAGAGAGCCTAGTGACAATATAAGCAAAAACACGAGTAAAAAAACCCACACAAGATGTTCTTACCTTAAAATTGTGTGCTTTTTCATAGTTGAAATGGTTGTCGTTTTGCGTTAACGCCGCTCTTCGGACCAAAGAGGTGATCTGTGAATAGGCAAAGAGTTTGAGAGGTTGCCACAAGAGCGCTCCCTTGACTCCCATTTTCACCCCCAAAGCCACTGCCAGCAGCTCCTGGCGGTTCCTTCCTCGTTTAGATTTGTGAACCACGGCGGCGCAGGCTTTCTCATTTTCAAGCCACAACTCCTCTGCAAACATGGTGCAGCTGGGATCCCAGAGATTCTCCCTGTCTTCTCCTCCTCCTCCTCCTTCCTCAGAGGCTGGGAGGCTGACTGCTGTCAGGTTTGTCCAACTGCTTCTAATGTTGGACAGCAGATTCGAAGCAGCTGCAGCAGCCCATTCTGCCGAGACCTCTGGCATGTGACTTGAATGGGCTGTCTTGTGTGATGGAAGGAGCTTCTGCATCTGAATGAGTAACGGGTCTGCTTTGTGATACTTCTCTTTAAAGCAGACGTGTGCCTGAAACAATAGCCGGGATTCATGCGGTGAAGCGACTCCCTCCTCCTCCTCGCCTCCGGCAGCAGCAGTAGAAAGAAGTACAGGCAGCCGGGGCAGCTTCACAGATTCACACTACAACACATTTCAAAGGAGAGATCGCTTCTACTTGGGAGCACCCCCCTCCCTCCGTTCATAAACGACTCCTGCCTCCAATTGCACTCAGAGCTGGGGACTTGTGTGCTATTCCAATACAAACACCGGCAGATTAAGCCTTTAAACCCCAGTGATTGTTTAATCTTGCAGGGCTAAAAAATCTCCTCTTTTTCATATCCTGTATAAGTGAAAATCTGGTAGCACTTCAAGGATTAGCGGCGGCTCTTTGCAATGCATTAAATTAATAACGTGGGGTTTTTTTTTAGTGCACACTGGCTTTAGAATAAGTGAAGTAATTAAATTATTTCAGTATGCCTGCGGATTACTTCGGTGTAAGGGGCTAGCTACGGATCCAGTCTATAATTTGATTTACCTAGAAAATACCGAGAGTAACAGATTCACTGATGCATTAAGGACTCACCTAGTCCAATACAGTACAAGTAGGACAACAATTTTCCTGTCTTTCTCCTTCATATGGTTGTTACAGCAGTCATGCTATATGCAATGGGGACCCATATGCAACAAAATGTGTGGAATGCTCCTGTTTCCCAGGATGTGTCATTCCATTCCATTCTGCTCACCCCAAAAGAGATTGGCCATTGGGTGTGCTTAGCCCTCACTGGGCTAATTTTGGCGTTCTTCCTTAAAAAAACTGTACTACGGTCGTACCTTGGAAGTCGAACGGAATCCGTTCCGGAAGTCCAAAACGTTTGGAAATCAAAGCACGACTTCTGATTGGCTGCAGGAAGCTCCTGCAACCAATCGGAAGCCGTGGAAGCCCCGTCGGGCGTTCAGGTTCCAAAGAACATTCGCAAACCGGAACACACACTTCCAAGCTTGCGGCATTCGGGTGGAAAAATATCTGAGTACCAAGGCGTTCAGGATCCAAGGTACGACTGTACAGTGGTACCTCAGGTTACATATGCTTCAGGTTACAGACTCCGCTAACCCAGAAATAGTACCTCAGGTTAAGAACTTTGCTTCAGGATGGGAACAGAAATTGTGCTCCGGCGGCGCGGCAGCAGCCGCAGGAGGCCCCATTAGCTAAAGTGGTGCTTCAGGTTAAGAACAGTTTCAGGTTAAGAACGGACCTCCGGAACGAATTAAGTACTTAACTCGAGGTGCCACTGTACTGCAAACCTTTGTGCTCCCAAAGCCGATTCTTCCCTCTCATGATACCATTTTGGCTACAAAATGATCAGCACATGAAAAATGAGGTCACTGTCAGTTAATATAGTTTTTTTTTTTTTTTAATGAGGGCCACATTTCAGTTGGGATAATCTATTTGGGGCCTCAAGCTGTTCCATGTTAACTAATTTGAATCAAGATTTCCGTTTTCTCCACGGTTTCCTCACATTAGAGTTACCAATCCTATGCAGCTCTGCTCAGAATAAGCCCCATTGGCATTGGGTAATGTGGCTGCTCTCAAATGGGTCTACAGAGAATCCCCCCCCCCCTTGGTATAAAAGACCAACACAGCTTCTACGGTGGAAAGCAAGTGAAAGTAATCATATGGTATCAGGTGTGGGGGTGGTAGAGTCACAGCTTGAAAGCAACAATGGAGAAAACAATTCCAATTGTTCATCTGCAAGCGGGCTTTTTGCATCTGCTGCCTTCTAAAATTGGCATCCGGTGCCAGGCCCACTGGGAGCAGCTCCACTCTGGAGCCCCAGGTAGAACTTCTCCCTGCCAAAACTGGAGTTTTCAGTTGGCACCGAATTTAAATTCAGTGCCTACAGCAAGCCCCGCTTTTGGCAGGGATCTCTGCGGCCCTGGCCCCTTCCTCCTTGCCCAGATGGATGCTGGGGGAGGGGCAGACCACTCTTTCCAGAGGGCTTCCCTGCTCCTGTTGTTTTGTCCATTTTGGCTTTTCCAACCACCTGAAATTGGGTGACCTTGGTAGGCCCCAAATATCTCAAGGAGCACCTTCTCCCATATGATTTCTCCCCAGGTTTTTAAAAGCTGTCTGTTCTGCCCACCATCAGATTCTACTCTAGAAGGTGAGAAGATCCTCACCTCTCAGGATCAGGGCCTTCTCTGTAGTGGTTCCAAAACTTTGGAATGAACTCCTTTAAAAAGCTTACTTGTCATTTCTCCTTGCTTCTTTTTTGGAAATAGGTCAAAACATTCCACCAGACATTTAGGAATGGAGGGCACAATACTGTTAATTTTTTTAATGCCCATTGCCTTTATTTATTTGTTTGTTTGTTTGTTTGTTTGTTTGTGTTTTATCTGCTGACACTGTATAACATTGCAGCCTTAGGGTCACTTCACAGTCACACTACTGCTTACCCCTAATCCTCAAATCCAGGCTTCCTGAACCTTGGCCCTCCAGATGTTTTGAGACTACAATTCCCATCATCCCTGACCACTGGTCCTGCTAGCTAGGGATCATGGGAGTTGTAGACCAAAAACATTTGGAGGGCCGAGGTTGATGAAGCCTGCTCAAAACCCTTTGAGAGACACCCTTGCTTTAATTTACAAACATAAAAGCAAAGAACAAACATATGACGACTTAGAGCATGCGAATGATCACGGCCTGATTTGAAAACTTGCAGAGACACATGGACAACCACAACCAGATCTGGTGGTGCAATTTTCTATCGAGTGTTATTTACTTGTAACATTCTGCAAGTTCAGTAAATTGTCAAGACTGGCTTGCTTTTCAGACATGCATGCATAGCTGAATCTATTTATTCTTTCAGGTAGATCGCAGTGTTCTTTCCCAGCTTTCTCTTCTCTCCCCTTTAAATAATTTCTGAGCCCTGTTGCAAAATAAATCATATTTCCCGGCTGATAAGGACAGCTGACTGCTGCTATTAAACAGGGAGTTTCAAACACAACACACAGATATGGGTCTCCCCAGGGCCTGATGTTTTGGTGCTATTCTGTGAATCATCACCATCATCATGCCATTAGTGTATCAACTCCTTTGGCAGCTCAGCAATCAGAACAGCAAGCCCTAAACAATCTTCTCTTCCTGCACTTATGGATCAGCCTTTAATCAGACGGTAAGTGTTTTAGAACAGACTGTGCTGTTTGATGGCTGAAAACCCAACCTCCCCAACTGTCTCACAACATCAAGCTAGCACTGAATAAGAGATAGATGGTTCTGTTGTTTACATCTAAGAGGAAAACCATATTATGTACATCTGTAAGTTGTATACTCTAGAGGAGCTGAGTTAAATGGATGATGTGGACGTAAAAAAATCCCTTTTGTTTGAAATTCTTATATCATTTTCAGTCATTGTATATATTTTCTAGAAGCCCTTCAGTCAGAATGATATGACATTATACTGTCTTATATTACAAACATTTTTTAAACGCTAAGCACCTCTTTGAATTCCTGGCATAGATACATCTTGCTATGTAATTGGTATTATTTTTAGTGGCAGTGAACCCAAGCCACGAGAGGTCAATTTTATAGTAATTTCATGGCATTTGTATTATTGATGAAAATCCTATTACATAAGGAACATCATTATATAATACATCAGATACGGTGTTCGGAACTACAGATTATGCCAACAATCCCGGACATCTTTTTAGAATACTTATTAACAGTGTCATCCTAGGGACAAATTTCCAGAAATAAGATAAAACTGCAACCTCTTTTGTGGCATTGTTAAAACATGTGACAATAAAGGAGGGAGAATTCAGCCGTGTGACTGATAACAGAGGGTAGGCTGTCATTTGCTACACATATTATACCTGAAATTCCATTCATTCACCTAGGTTCCTTTGTCAATCATATTGTGTTATTTATCAGGGTTCCTACAAAGGGTGTCTATAGATAGGCATATAATAAATATGTTCCTTTAATGGGCTGAATTGCATGAAGGAACCGTGGAATTCTTGCCACATATGTGTTGTATGTTCATGTATACAGGGTCTTAGTAACTTTAGAAAACCAGGCTTCATAAATAAAAACATAAGAGAAATTAACTGGCTCTTTTATCACGATAATAACTTGAAACTCTCAATATGATTTCAAACTGAATTTTCCACAATCCAGCTAAAATTAAATAGCTGGCACCACAACGGCAAACCTATTTGTCTGGATCTATGTTTAATTTTGTATAAGAACTGGTGTTGCCATTTGATGATAATCATAATCATAATAATATATTCTTTGTTCCCCGCCCATTTGGCTGGGTTTTCCCAACCACTCTGGGCAGCTCCCAACAGAATACTAAAAGCACAATAAAACGCCACACATTAAAAACTTCCCTAAACAGGGCTGCCTTCGGATGTCTTCTAAAAGTCAGATAGTTGTTTATTTCCTTGACATCTGATGGGAGGGTGGGTGCCACTACCGAAAAGGCCCTCTGCCTGGTTCCGTGTAACCTCACTTCTCGCAGTGAGGGAACCGCCAGAAGGCCCTCGGAGCTGGACCTCAGTGTCCGCACTGAACGATGGGGTTGGAGACGCTCCTTCAGGTATACTGGGCCGAGGCCAGTGAATGGGTAGCCAAAGCCACATCAAAAGAAGTATCCTGGTGAGTTCAATGGGGTGCAGATCAACATTCCATTGCAGATGTTCCCCCACATCCACATCAGCTATGTGCATGGATATCTATTTCTGCACAGGAATCTGCTTTGCTCAGG